GAGAGAGGCCAATTAAAGCTGTGTCCTGAGATTCTACAATTAGAAGTTTCTCGAATCTGCCATCAGCAGCCTAACCTTCCTAGCACCCCCGAAGGCAGAGCTCCACTGGGCATCGCTCCCAGGAGGACACATCAGGGATGAAGAAGGTTCCAGTTTCCCCTGCCAATACGAAGCCCGTTGGGATCTCCTCTGGCACAACTCGCCCTAACAATCCCAGAGCACCCCATTCCAAGTTTCCTGCGCAAACCTGCCACGGGCCTTCCCCAGTCTCCTAGGAGTTCATTAAAAGTTGGCCTGCAATTTTCCATCTCCACGTTCATTTGTGCAAATTAAAAACAAAATTCCCCAAGGGCCTGCCCGGGAGCTGCAGGCAGGAGAGCTTCAGACTCGAGCTGGGGGAGTGGTAATGAGCCCCCCTCACCCCGGGGCATCATCCCCTCCCGCGCTCCCTCTTCGCTTCCAGTTGAAACTTTGCTGGCTGATTAGCAACAAAGCCGAGACGCAGAACTTGTTTCCTGATGAGAAAGTTCCTGAGATCCAAACAGCATCCATCACACCCTACCATAGGAAGCCTTGGGCGCAGGTGTCTCTGCTGTGAACGAAGCACGCGGCTGACAGGCTCACCAGGAGCTGGGGGCTCACACCTGTACTGCCAGCTACTCAGGAGGCTGAGATCTGAGGATCGCGGTTCAAAGCCAGCCTGGGCAGGGGCATCCATGAGACTCTTTTCTTAGCTGCCAGACCCTGAGCTCAGCCCCATAACCAGGAAAAAAAAAAAAAATCTAGCAGCCAGGTTCTCGTGGTTCATGCCTGTCTTCCTAGAATCTCAGGAGGCTGAGACCTGAGGATCAAGGTTCAAAGCCAACCCTAGCCAGGAGAGTCCATGAGACTCTTACATCTAATGACCCAGCAGAAAACCTGAAGTGACTCTGTGGCTCAAGTGATAGAGCACTCACCTTGAGCTGAAGAGCTGAGGGACAGCGCCCAGGCCCAGAGTTCAAGCCCCACAACTGACAAAAAAGAAAGGAAGAAAAAAGCAATTTGCTAGTGGTAGGTGCTGGGCGCTGGTGGCTCATGACCGTCATCTCAGCTTCTCAGAAGGCTGAGATCTGAGGATCATGGTTCAAAGTCAGTCCGGGTGAGAAAATCTGTGAGACTCTTTTCACCAATTAACCACCCAAAAGTTACAAGTGGAGCTGTGGCTCAAGTGGTAGGGCACTAATCCTTGAAGGAAAATGCTCAGGAACAGTGCACAGGCCCAGAGTTCAAGCCAGGACTGGTGCGCGCGCGCACACACACACACACACACACACACACACACATACACGCTGCGTGGAGCAGGGCCCAGGCCTGGAGTTGGCAGATCTGTGCTTTCTCCCATATGCTCCCACATAGGCACCAATGGAAGACGTGGCAGGGGACAGCAGACCCGAGTCCAGACCCTGTCAGCTATGCGCAGTCGTAAGAAGAGTCATCATTCCAATCGCTGGGGAAAGAAAATCAAGCATCAGTCTGATTCCATGACCACAGGGTGGAGGCCAGGGCACCCCAAGGCCTTCCTCTAGCAGCTTCTCACTGCAAAGGTCCTGGATGAAGGTCTGTCCCCCATTTGAAGAGATCTGGGGGTGAGGGGTGGGGGACCCCTCCATACCAGACATTTCTGAAGCTGCTACTTCTTAGGACTGCCGTTACGCTGTGGAGCCATCCTGAGTGCACTAGGGTGTTAGAACATCGCATCTACACATTGAAGGTAAACAGCAGGCCATGCGCTGTGGCTCACACCTGTAATCCCAGCTACCCAAGAGGCTGAGATTGGAGGATCCAGGTTCAAAGCCAGCCCGGGCAGGAAAGCCCATGAGACTCTTAGCTCCAAAGAACCACCAAAAAGTCATAGTGGAGCTGTGGTTTAAGTAGTAGAGTACGAGCCTGGAGCAAAAATAAAAAGATCTCAAGCTCTGAGTTCAAACCCCAGGACTGGTACACACAGTCCCTTCAAAAAAAAACCAAAACAAAAAACCCTCAATCCTCTGCACATCACCTTTATAATAACAATAGAACTCATATAAACGGGGAAAAATCCAGAAGTGGCACTGTGGCTCAAGGGGTAGAGTGCTAGTCTTGAGCAAAAGAAGCTCAGGGACAGCGCCCAGGCCCTGAGTTCAAGACCCAGGATTAGCAATAAATAAAAATAAAATAACAATAGAAATATTTTTTTAGGCCCGGTGTCTGTGGCTCACGCCTGTCATCCTAGCTACTCAGGAGGCTGAGATCTGAGGATCGAGGTTCAAAGCCAGCCCGGGCAGGAAAGTCGTGAGACTCTGATCTCCCATAAACCACCAGAAAACTGGAAGTGGCGCCGTGGCTCAAGTGGTAGAGTGCTGGCCTTGCGCAAACCCATGCAGAATTGGATCTGCAGTGGTTCTGTGAGAACTAGTAACAGAATCTTATGATCTAGACTATTCCCTCCGCTCTGGCCTGCTCTGCCTGGCTCCTGGCGATGCCCAGGTGGGCAGCACTTCTCAGCTTTATTCCAGGATGAGGCTGCGTTCCTGAGTGGTCGCAGGAACCCTGAAATGCCGATCGGGCCTGGCTCACGGGAGGAGCCTGCAGAGAAAGGAGGGCCCAGGCTCCGTCGCCCATGGTCTCCACCCTGACCCACATTGTGGGCCCGTGACGCGTTGCTCCCTGAGTCCAGAACACAGAACACTGCGGCTCGGGTGGCCTCAGAGTCTCCTCCGGAGGGGAGGCTGTGGACACCGAGGCCTCTGGCAGACTTGCCCTCTGTGAGGACGGTCACTGCTCACAGCCACTGACAGGACAGCACCTTGACCATGCTCTGAACAATGGAGCCGGGGTCAGTGCACACATGTGCAGAGAAGGCCTGAGAAAATCAAGACTTCTGTGCTAGCAAAGGGAACAGGGATCAGTAAACTCATTGAGGAATGTGCTGGGCTAGACAATACTTCCACCCTAGGGAAGGGAGTAGGGATCAGTAAATACATTTGGAAAAAAATGCTGGGTTAGTCAATGATTGCATTCTGGAGAATGGAACCAGGATCTGTACTCAGGGAAGTGCTGAATCAAAACTCCATTCTATGCCGGGCACCAGTGGCTCCCGCCTGTCATCCTAGCTACTCAGGAGGCTGAGATCTGAGCATTGTGATTCAAAGCTGCCTGGGGAAGAAAGGCCATGGGACTTTTTTTTTTTGGTCCTTTGTGGGGCCTGAACTCTGGGCCTGGGCGCTGTCCCTCAGTTCTTCAGTTCTTCCGGCTTTTTTTCTTTTTGCTTATGTGGTGCTGAGGAATCGAACCCAGGGCCTCATGCATGCAAGGCAAGCGCTCTACTACTGAGCCACCTTCCCAGCCTCCAGAGACTCTTTTTTTTTTTTTTGGGGGGGGGTCCGGTCATGGGCCCTGAACTCTGGGCCTGGGCGCTGTCCCTCAGCTCTTCAGCTCACGGCGAGTGCTCTACCACTTGAGCCACAGCACCACTTCCGGCTTTTTTCTTTTTGCTTATGTGGTGCTGAGGAATCGAACCCAGGGCCTCATGCATGCAAAGCAAGGACTTTACCACTGAGCCACCTTCCCAGCCCCCTCCAGAGACTCTTATCTCCAATAAATCACCAGAAAACCAGAGGTGCTGTGGCTCAAGTGGTAGAGCACTAGCCTTGAGCTGAAGAGCTGAGGGACAGCGCCCAGGCCCAGAGTTCAAGCCCCACAACTGACCAAAAACATAAAAAACAAACAAAACCCCCAAAACTTCTGTTCCAGGGAAAGGAGCAGGGATCAGTACACATACTCAGAAAAGTGCCTAGATAGTAACTGCCTCCGTTCTGGGGAAGGGTCAGGGGTCAGTTCAGGGACAGGCAAGGCTGCTTGGGTGGGGGTCAGCACACACCCGAGTCCCCCCTTCCCTGCCCGCCAGCCTCGGCCTCTCCCCGCAGTGTCCCTCTTCTCTTGTTTTCTGGCGGGTCCTGGGCCGGGTCTCGGGCCGGGCGCTGTCCCTGGCTCCTCAGCTCCAGGCCCGGCTGCACGCGGCCGCCCCAGCCCTGCTCCTCCGCGGGCCTCTCCGGGCGGGGCACCAGCGGCCTGCACGCGGGAAGGGGAAGGGGTTCCCGTTCAGGCAGGAGCACGGCAGGGTCCGAGCCCCCTTCGGGCCGGGAGCCAGGGCAGTGCCCACATCCACGCCCACACTCCGGGACTCGGTCACGGAGCCTCGGGGCATCCCGAGCGGGGCGGGGCCTCGCACCGCTCCCTCCCCGGCCCGCGCCCCCGCCGGGCTGGCCGAGGCAAGTCCACCCGCGGCCCCCCGCCGGGCTGGCCCAGGCAAGTCCACCCGCGGCCCCCCCGCCGGGCTGGCCGAGGCAAGTCCACCCGAGGACCCCCCGCTGGCCGAGGCGCGTCCACCCGCGGCCCCCCGCCGGGCTGGCCGAGGCAAGTCCACCCGCGGCCCCCCGCCCCCCCCTGGCCGAGGCGCGTCCACCCGCGGCCCCCCGCCCCCCCCCCGCTGGCCGAGGCGCGTCCACCCACGGCCCGACCCCCCGCTGGCCGAGGCGCGTCCACCCACGGCCCGACCCCCCGCTGGCCGAGGCGCGTCCACCCGCGGCCCCTCCCCGCCCCCCCCCGCTGGCCGAGGCGCGTCCACCCGCGGCCCCCCGCCCCCCCCCCTGGCCGAGGCGCGTCCACCCGCGGCCCGGCCCGGAGGGCGGAGGGTCAGTGACAGAGCCTCAGGCCTCAGCCCCCTCCGTGTGAGTGAGTGTGCGTGTGCGTGTGGCTTTTTTTGCTGGTTCACTGGAAATAAGAGCTCTCTCGAACTCTCCTGCCCGGGCTGGCCTCGAACCTCCATCCTCAGGTCTCCGCCTCAGACAGTCAGCGCACCGCGGCTCCACCCCGGGTGGGCGTGCTCGAGGCCCCGCCCACCGGCCCCGCCCACCGGCGTCGGCCCCGCCCACCCCGCCGGCAGTGAGGCGCGGACTCGGTGGGCGCAGCTTTATTGGGGTCTGTCCGGGCGGGGGGAGGGCGGGGGCGGGGCGGGGTCAGTCCAGGGGCTGCGCGCGCAGCCACAGGCCGCCCTCGGCGCGCAGGATGAGCTCCGGCTTCCGGCGCGGCTCGGGCCCCGCGGCGCCCCCTGCGGGCAGCACGCGGAAGCGCAGCAGCGTCAGCGCCAGCGCCACCTTCATCTCGCTCAGCGCGAAGGTCTGCCCGATGCAGTTCCTGCGGGGTCGGGGGGTGACGGGGGGCCCGGGGTGCCGGGGCCGTGGAGGACGGGGACCCCGGGGGGACGGGGCCGTGGAGGACGGGGGGCCCGGGCGGACGGGGCCGTGGCGGACGGGGAGCCCCGGGGGGACGGGGAGCCCCGGGGGGACGGGGGGGGGAACGGGGGGCCCGGGGTGCCGGGGCCGTGGAGGACGGGGAGCCCGGGGGAACGGGGAAGATTCTGGTCCCTAACTCAGGCCAGGTGGCGGGAGGAGCTCCGAGCAGCTGCGCCCCAATCTCCGCACCGCTTCCCCCGGCCTGGCGCCGAGCCCCGACGGTGCGCCCCGCCCCGTGCCCGCCCCGCCCGCCCCTGGGCCCCGCCCGCCCCTGGGCCCCGCCCGCTCCTGGGCCCCGCCCCGTGCCCGCCCCGCCCCGCCCGCCCCTGGGCCCCGCCCGCACCTGGGTCCCGCCCGCACCTGGGCCCCGCCCCGTGCCCGCCCCGCCCCGTGCCCGCCCCGCCCCGCCCGCCCCTGGGCCCCGCCCCTGGGCCCCGCCCCGTCCTGGCCCGGCCCCCGCCCCGTCCTGGCCCGGCCCCCGCCCCGTGCCCGCCCCGCCCGCACCTGGGCCCCGCCGAGAAGGGGACGTAGGCCATCGGGGACCGGTCCTCCGCGTGGTCCCCGTCGAAGCGGGAGGGGTCGAAGACCTGCGGGACGGAGAGAGGCGGGCGGGGCGCTGCGGCGGGGCGGCTTCCGACCCGGGACCCCGGCCCCCGGCCCCTCCCGGTGATCGCGGACCCCGGCCCCTCCCGGTGATCGCGGACCCCCCGCCCCGCCGGGGACCCCGGCCCCCGGCCCCTCCCGGTGATCGCGGACCCCGGCCCCTCCCGGTGACCCCGGCCCCCGGCCCCTCCCGGTGACCCCGGACCCCGGCCCCTCCCGGTGACCCCGGACCCCCCGCCCCGCCGGGGACCCCGGGAGCGCGGGCGCGGCACCTCGGGGTCCGGCCACACCGCGGGGTTGTGATGAATCCCGAAAATGCTGATCAGGCAGATGACGCCTGCGGGGGGGGGGGGGGGGGTGAGGCTGGGCCGCGCCGTCCGGTGCCCGCCCCCCTCCTCCCCGCCCCCCTCCTCCCCGCCCCCCTCCCCCCCCCGCGCCCGCCCCTCCCCCGGCCCCCCCCCCCCCGCACCTCTGGGGATGACCCGGCCGTCGGGCAGCTGCACGTCCCGCGCGCAGCGGCGGGAGATGACGGTGACGGGCGGGTGCAGCCGCAGGCTCTCCTTGAGGCACATGGTGAGGAAGGGCAGCCGGGCCAGGTCGTCCCTGAGGGCGCCCGCCGTCACCGGGGCGCGCACCCCTCCTCCCGGCTCCGCCCGCCAGCACCCGCTCCCTCCCTCCCTCCCTCCCGGCCGCTGGAGCTGCGATCAGGATCGCGGTTCACAGCCAGCCCGGGCAGGACAGGCCCAGAGCCTCTGAACGCTAAGAAACCGCCCAGGAGAAGCCGGCGTGGCGCTGCGGCCCAGGCGGCAGAGCGCTGGCCTGGCGCGCGAGGAGGCCCGGGGTTCAAGACCCGGGACCGGCCAAAAAGAAGAAAAAGAAAGCAAGCACTGGGAGGAAGTAGGACCTGGTAACTGGCATTTTTAGGGAACTATTTCTGCGACAAAGCACGCCTCTGAAAAGGGGCCTTTGAGAGCGTGCCTACAGGCTGGGCTCCGGGATCCCAGCTCCTCAGGATCTGAGGGTCTCAGCTCAAAGCCAGCCCAGGCAGGAGAGTGTGTGAGACTCCAATCTCCAGCTTAACCACAAGATGTGGCTCAAGTGGTACAACACCAGGCTGGAGAAGAAAAAAACCAAAAAGTAAAACAACCTCATAGCGCCCAGGCCCTGGGTTCAAGCCCCAGGACTGGCACAAAAAGAATAAAAAGGAAAGTCTGTCCCTTGCTAGCCAGGCCTGGCACCTGCTCTGAGCTCAGCGCCCAGTCCCACTGAGCAATGAACGCATCAGCAGGAAGATGAGCCCCCGCCCCTCCTGGGGGCGCAGCCGGGGAGAGGCCCCGGCCCGGCCCAGGGCCGCGCTCACCACTCCACCTCCTGCGGGTCGCGGTCCCTCAGCAGCTCCCGCACCTCCTGCCGGCAGCGCTCCTGGTGCTGCGGGTGCGTGGCCAGGTTGTAGAGGACCCAGGAGAGCCCGCTGGCCGTGGTGTCGTGGCCTGAGGGGCGGCCGCAGGGCGGGGTCACCGGGCTGCGCGTGGACAGCGCAGGGCAGGGAGGGCCGGCGGGGAGGGGGCAGGCGCAGAGCGGGGCCCCAGGGTGGAGGGACTCCTGCCCCAAGCCTCACCCTCAAACATGAAGGTGTCGGCCTCCGCCCGGATGTCCTGGTCGGACAGCGCCTTCCCGTCCTCATCCTGGAAGAGAAAGCAACGCTGCAGAACCGCAGGAGGCCGAGGACGCGGGAGCCGCAGCGGAGAGCAGCCCCAGCACCCACCTTCCACCCCACGCCGCGCCCGCGGGGCAGGGGCTGGCCGGCCGCCACCGCCCCGGGCCCCGGCCTGCGGCCTCGTCTCCTAGCCACCTCTCTACTTCTGGCTTTGGGATGATTCACTGACGATAAGGAGTCTCCCCGACTTTCCTGCCCGGGCTGGCTTTGAACCACGATCCTCAGATCTCAGCCTCCCAAGCACTTGGGATGACCGGCGTGACCACCGGCGCCCAACCCACCGTCTACACACAGATTTTCTCTGGAGAGCTTCCTGAGGCTGAGAACACAGTTTGTGTCCCCCCTCCCTCTCCCCCCCCCCATCCTCTGCCCAGCCCACCTTGGCCAGCAGAAGCACGTCGATGAAGTCCAGGGTTTTGGCCTTGGCCTTGGCCCGGAGGCCATCATCCAGGCCCTGGCCCAGGAGGGAGCGGCGCCGTTCCCGGATGACAGCGTCGGTGAAGGCGTGCACCAGGCGGCAGGCCTTCCGGAAGCGGCGCCCGTCGGGGGTCAGCTGGTACAGGAAGTCCAGGTGCAGCAGCGGTTGCTGGTGTCTCTTGGCCACCAGGGCGCTGAGCTCCACGATGGCAGCGATGTACTCACTGGGCTTCCTGCAGGACGAGCCCGACAGGAGGCCCCCCTGAGCCTCCCCGACCCCACAGGCTGGCTTTGAACTGCGATCCTCAGATCTCAGCCTCTGGTGAGCCACAGGCATCCAGCTCTCTCTCCCTTTTATACCAGTCACCTGAAGGACTTGTCACTAGGACAGAATCTTTACGAACAGGGGCGTGGAACCTTCGGGGGCTCCCTGGAAAGCCCAAGAGGGGTGTACACCTTTTGCCAGGCTTCACAATATTCCTTCCAGCTTCCCTCCCAAGGTGCCTCTCACTACCTGCTTGGAAAGATGAGTCCCCAATCCCCTTCCTCACCCTTCGAGACTGATCTGACCATCCTCTTCCAGGAAGGCCACCTTGGTTCCCCCTGGATGGCCCACTCTCCCAGAACTCCTTCCTTGGGTTGGTAGCCCAGGGGCCCACATCCTGGACAGGACTTCACTCTTTAAGTCTACACATCCGGTCAGATGTCTCTAGGAATGAGCTGGAAATGACCCCTGCACGTAGGGTCCCAGAGACTCACTCCTGGCAGTTGCTGTCAAAGCTGAAGACGCATTTCAGCAGACTGTCCAAGGTCATGAGGCTGATGTGCTCGAACATGTCCAGACGCGTGACGCCCTCCGCCATCAGACGCCGCCACTTGGCCTGGCCGGAGAAGAGGGCGGGGCTGACACAGAGTGACCCAGAGCTGGAGCCGGGCGCCAGCGGCTTGTGCCTGCCACCCTGGCTACGCAGGAGGCTGAGATCTGAGGATCGCAGTTCAAAGCCGCCCAGGCAAGAAAGTCTGAGCCTCTTATCACCAATGAACCACCAGAAAACCGGAAGTGGTGCTGTGGCTCAAGTGGTAGAGGGCTCGCCTTGAGCATAAAGAAACTGAGGGACAGCGCCCAGGCCCTGAGGTTTAGCCCAGGACTGGCACACAAAGAGGAGGAGGAGGAGGAGGAAGAGGGAAGAAGAAGAGGAGGAGGAGGAGGAGGAAGAGGAAGCAGTGGCGAGTGTGGCTCAGTCCTTACCACGTACAGGCGAGGTGGAAGAAGAAGGGAAGAATTGGGCAGGAGATATTTATGGAAGGCATAGTGTTTCCCTACACACCCACTTTTTTTTGTCTGTCGTGGGGCTTGAACTCAGGGCCTGGGCACTGTCTCTCAGCTTCTTTATACTCAAGGCATGAACTCTACCACTTGAGCCACAGCGCCACCGCTGGTTTTCTGGTGGTTTATTGGAGATCAGAGTCTCAGGGACTTTGCTGCCTGGGCTGGCTTTGAACTGCGATCCCCAGATCTCAGCCTCCTGCATAGTTAGGATGACAGGCGTGAGCCCCTGGCGCCCGGCTCCAGCCCCAGTCTTGATGCTGGGATGGACCGACTGGCCGGCACCAGGTGAGGGAAATAGGTGGTGCCACAACTCCTTACAAATCTCTGTCCCCAGGGCATTTCAGATGCTTCTCGCTCCCACGGAATGTGTCCGTGCCATCGGAGGCATCACAGGGACAAGAATCCACTTGTCCCAGTCAAGAGCATATGAAACCAGCCTGAAGTTGACCGAGCCCCAGTCATGACAGAAACACAGAGCCAGGACCAGCTTGAAAGAAACAGAAACTGCCATAGGTGTGAGCGCCTACTGCGTGCCATGCACGTACCCACTGTGTGCCATGGGAGCGCCTACTGCGTGCCATGGGAGCGCCTACTGTGTGCTATGCGCGTACCTACTGTGTGCCATGGGAGCACCTACTGCGTGCCATGTGAGTGCCTATTGTGAGCTAGAGATGGGATTCCATTGCTTTGTGTAAACCAGCCTCAAAGTTAGAGGTTTTCTCTCCTCATCAGATCCCAGGCCAGACCACGCCCCTAGTGATCATCAGATCGCAGACCACAACTCCAGTGACCATCAGATCACAGGCCAAACCATGACCCCAGTGACGACCAGATCCCAGACCACACCCCCAGTAACCATCAGATCCCAGGCCCAGACCACGGCCCCACTCTCCGCCGCCACGGCTGCAGGCACTCACGTGCATGGTGTTGACGCTGTCGTTGAAGATCTTTAGGTATGGCTTCAGGATGCTGAAGTGGAAGGCGGGCGTCAGCATGCGCCGGTGGCGGCCCCACTTGGCCCCGGCGCTCAGCAGGAGTCCGTCGCCTGGCAGTGGCAGAGTGCGTCGTGGGTGAGGGCAGCGCCCCCAGGCCCCCGGGCTGCCCCGCCCTGTCCCCCCCCATCCTGTCCCCTCCCCCCCCATCCTGTCCCCTCCCCCCCCCGCCCATCCCCCGTGCTCACCCAGCCAGGGCCTCAGGAACTCGTAGAAGATCACGTCCTTGATCGCCACTTCAGCTGACAGGAGAGAGCATCAGGCGGGGTGGGGGGGTGCCGGGGTGGGGCCTCCACCGCCCACAGCATGGTCTGTCACGCACCTTGACAAGCCTCCGGATCAACCCAACAAGTCGGCCCTAAGCCCAGCTACTCAGGAGGCTGAGATCTGAGGATCTCGGTTCAAAGCCAGCCTGGGCATCTCCAAAATACTGGAAGTGGCACTGTGGCTCAAGCGGTAGAGCTCTTGCCTTGAGCTGAAGAGCTGAGGGACAGCGCCCAGGCCCAGAGTTCAAGCCCCATGGCGCGCGCACACACACACACACACACACACACACACACACACACACACACACACACACAAAGCAGGAAGTGAAGCTGTGGCTTGAGTGGTAGAGCAAAATGTTAAGGGTCAGCAGCCAGGCCCTGAGTTCAAGCCCTAGACTAGTGAGGGCTTTCACACACACACACACACACACACACACACACACACACACACACACAATTTAACTGACTTCATACCTGATATAATGATATAATCAGATAACTGAGAATGAGAAATTCAACTAAGGTAAAGATAAACTGTGCACTCTGTGTGTGTGTATGTGTGTGTCTGTGTGTGTGTCTGGCCCTGGAGCTCAAACTCAGGGCCTGGGCACTGCCCCTGAGCTCTTTTGTTAAGGCTAGTACTCTACCATGTTGAGTCACAGCACTTGTGAGTTTTGAGTAGTTAATTAGAGATAAGAGATCCTCAGATCTCAGCCTCCTGAGTGGCTGGGATGACAGGCGGGAGCCACCGGCGCTCTCCCAAGGCAGCCTGAATTCTTTTTTCTTTTTTTTTTTTTTTTTGGGTCCAGTCGTGGGGCCTGAACTCTGGGCCTGGGCGCTGTCCCTCAGCTCTTCAGCTCAAGGCGAGCGCTCTACCACTTGAGCCACAGTGCCACTTCTGGCTTTTTTCTTTTTGCTTATGTGGTGCTGAGGAATGGAACCCAGGGCCTCATGCATGCAAGGCAAGCGCTCTACCACTGAGCCACCTTCCCAGCCCTGGCCTGAATTCTTCACCCTCAGCCCTCGTCCTCCAAATCGGTCTTGCTGACGGCGCACGGCAGCCAGGCCTGGCGATTGGAAAGTCGCAGGTGACATGAGGACTGTGGACTTTGAAGCCAGCGTGATTGGAGAGGATTCTGGGCAAGTGACTAGCGCACCTGGGGAAAGTGACCTCTCTTGCCAGTCTCGGTGTGTGTGACCCTGGATCCCGGGGCCAGGGAAGGGCTACCTTGACAGGGACAGTGACACACAGACAGCAAACCCGCCACAGGGAGACAGACAGACGGCAACGTCCTGCTTGGACGGCTGGTCGCAGCCAGGCCTGAATGCCACTTCGTTTGCCCCGCAGGCCAGGGGTCCTTCTCTCTGCTGACCTCACGCTAGACCTGTGGCTTACAGCTACGAATAAAAGAACCTGGTGGCCAAGGGCCGTGACCTGCCCTGGCAGGGTGAGGGCATGGTCCCCAAGGGCAGGGCCTGGGCCCCGTGGAGGGGAGGGGCCAGGCTGGGGGGACCGCGGCCCGGAGCCTCCCCGCCCTCTCTCCACTGCAGAGGTGCGGCTCGTGGGCCCTCACCACCACCAGCTCCCCGCGGGTACCTGAGGCGTTGAGGACGGGTCGCACGACGTCAGGGTGGCACAGACTGATGAGGGGAACAACAGGGCCCAGCCACACCATGAAACCCTGGGGGTAGGCGGCCACCAGCTGCGTCACTTCCTGCATGCCCTGCTCTGTGGGCGGGCCCTGCAAGCAATGGGGGGTCACATCCTGAAGGGAATGATTTCTGAGCCCCCCTTCCTGTCTCTCCCAGGGTGTGTGAGATGAGAAGGCCTGGAGTGAGGCAGATCCGGCCTCCACCTTGGAGGCTGCCTCCTCCTCTCGCCCCTGGGGGATTCTGAGAAGACTGGAAGGTTGGAGGAGCCGGTGCAGGTGGCTCGCACCGCCAGCAACCCCGGCCCAGCTCGCTGATCCTGTATCCCATAACGTCATAAGCCAAAACCCACTATCCCCTTCCTTCTGTCTTTCATGGACAGACAGACAGACAGACAGACAGATGGAGGTGGTGAAGAGTTAGATGCATACATTTTGTCTTTTTCATTTTATTTTTTAAAATTTTTATTGAGATTAGGTGATTCTTAAGTTTCGCGTCTCACAGTACTGTGGAAGAGTGGCGCTTCACAAGCAAATCGGCATTATCACAGTCCACACACACACACATTGATATGCCCTGAATGTGTTTGCCTGCAAACTCAAAGATCATTCAGTTCCAGTCCTGAGACTTGAACTCAGGGCCTGAGCGCTATCTGTGAGCCTTTTTTGTTTTGCTCAAGGCTGGTGCTCTATCACTTGAGCCACAGCACCACGTCCAGCTTTTGTTTTTTGTTTTTGTCAGTCACGGGGCTTGAACTCTGGGCCTGGGCGCTGTCCCTCAGCTCTTCAGCTCAAGGCGAGTGCTCTACCACTTGAGCTACAGCGCCACTTCCTGTATTTTATTGGAGATAAGAGTCTCACAGAGTTTCCTGCCCAGGATGGCTTTGAACCGTGATCCTCAGATCTCAGCCTCCTGAGTAGCTAGGATGATGGGCATGAACCACTAGCGCCCGGCCAAGGTCATTCTTTTGAAAAACCGAAACCCTGGGTATAGGGTGGTGTGGAGTCCCCGGAGGGGGGGGACCTTCGATCCAGCCCCGGAGCACTTAGGATCCTCACTCAGGATTCCTCCTGGGCCTTTCCTGGGTGCCCCGGAAGGACAGACAGCGTGGGAAAGAACGCAAGGAAGAGGGAGGAGCTGGAGGGACAGCTGGGGAGTGAGACTTAGCTGCCACGGCCCAGACCGGAGCTGGGGCCCCACGCCCGACTCCTGGAGCCCCTCTGCCAGGGCACGAGCCCACCCGCTCCCACTCACCAGGCCCACGTGCCCCAGGAACCAGTTCCGCCTCGGCGGCTGCGGGAAGCACCGGAGGCGCCACGCGGTTTTGCAGAAGGCGTAGATCCACACGAGGACCCGAGCCACGAGCCAGGATGCCGTGGCCAGCAGCAGCAGCAGCCACGGGGAGGGGACCACGGGCCCCAGGCCCGGCCATGACAGGCTGGGCCACCACATCCTGCAAGACACAAGGCCCGAGGAGCTCCGGGACACGGGACAGGGCGGGCACGGGGCGCTGGAGCCAGAGCAAGAATGGAGAAGGAGACACAGGGCACTCCTGGGAAGAGGCAGGGAGAGGAGGAGGAGGAGGAGGGGCTGGAGGGGGAGGGGGGAGGAAAGGAATAGATGAGAGGAGAAGGGCGCTGGCGGCTCCCGCCTGTCATCCCAGCGACTCAGGAGGTTAAGATCTGAGGATCTTGGCTGAAAGCCAGTTTGGGGAGGAAAGTCCATGAGACTCTGATCTCCACTGAATCATCACAAAAGCAGAAGGTGGATCTGTAGCTCAAGTGGTAGAACACCAGCCTTGAGCAAAAAAGCTCGGGGGACAGTGCCCAGGCCCTGGGTTCAAATCTTAGGAAAAACATCAATACATGGGAGGAGAGAAGAGGAAGAAGGAAAGGACCAGGTGGACCAAGGACAGAGTGGATCCTTTGGGCACTAGAGAGATGGGCATAGACTTCAGAGAGAAACCATTGGCTGTCCAACCAGCTGCCCAGTCCCGGGTGGCCATCTTTGTGGAGCTAGCCCAGCCTGGAGCAAAGCCCTCCCATAAAGTCAGGGCCTCCGCGCTTACTGTCCCTGTCCTGGATCCTTCTCTTCAGGAGGAGCTGCTTGTTCCTCTTCTGCCTCGTCTCTGGTCCTCAAGGAGATAATTTCTTCTGGACTCCTGACCTAGGAGAGGCTGTGGGATTGGGCTGGGCCGGGCCAGCCAATCGCCTGCAGGGCTGAGGTGGACCGTCCAATCCCCTGCAAGCCCAGCTGATTCCTCCCTCCTCCTCCCCCCCCCCCCAGGCAGGTGGCCAGGACACAGGGGGGCGGGGCTGGCCAGCCAGAGAGGAACAGGCCTTTCTTGGACGCAGTGTGTGCTGGGGAGGGGGGCATCCCCTCAGCCCCAGTGTGTACACGTGCAGGGTACAGGAGATAAAAGCAGGAATCCAGGCCAGCCTTGTCCCAGAACGCACGCCCCCTGCAGCGGCCCAGTTCCTCCTCGCAGAAGGGCCTGAGAAGCCAGCCCCGTCCAGCAGCACACGGCCTGGGCACTGCAGGGCCTCCTTCCACGCAGCCCAGGCTCTGGGTGGAGACGTGGAGCCGGGGGTCAGGAGCAGACACCTAGCACCTCGGGGGATTTCCTGGGTCAGATTCCAGGGGCAGAGCTCCAGGGCTGAGAAGCCACAACCGGGGGCTGGGCGCAGGTGGGAGCGGGCGAGAGCAGGAAGGGCAGGGCACCTTCTTTTCCACAGGAGTCTCCAGAGCAGTTAGTAATGTCCAACAGACACCTGCGGCGCAGGCCTGTAATCCCACCTGCTCTGGAGGCGGAGATCCAGCCCTGAAGGTAGGGGTGGGGTAGGGGGAGCTGGGGAGAAAGACTCCTTTCTCCAGTCAAGTACCCAAAAGCTGGGAGTAGAGGAATGGTTCAAGTGCCCAGGCCCCAAATTCAAGCCCCAGAACCAGCACACACATTTTTTTTTTTTGGGGGGGGGTCCAGTCGTGGGGCCTGAACTCGGGGCCTGGGCGCTGTCCCTCAGCTCTTCAGCTCAAGGCTAGCGCTCTACCACTTGAGCCACAGCGCCGGCTTATTTCTTTTTGCTTATGTGGTGCTGAGGAATCGAACCCAGAGCCTCATGCATGCAAGGCAAGCGCTCTACCACTGAGCCACCTTCCCAGCCCCACATTTTTTTTTTTAATAGTAATTAGCTGAACAAGATGGAGAGATGATGATCACCATAAAGATAACATAATAGCTATAGCTAATTAGGTAGATAAATGATAGCTAATTATATAGATGGTTTATATTACATAGCTGAGAGCAGGGGAGGGGGGGTGAGCAGAGATCAAAGCTTCAGAATCTTCCTTCCCTGGGATCCGGGGTCTTTATCCACCCACATCCACCCTCAGAGCCAGGGCGGCCTGCGAGGTAGGCACAGGTCCCCTGAATGTGGTATTTTTTGTCAGTTGTGGGGCTTGAACTCTGGGCCTGGGCGCTGTCCCTGAGCTCTTCAGCTTGACGCCTCAGGCCTTGCTGTGCACACGGTGTCCAGCAGGGGCCGCCCTTCCCTGGGCAGGTGGGGCAGGCCCCAGGGCAGCCTGGGTTTTAGAATGACACAGCAGGTGCGCAGAATCTGAGGGACCCCTGCCCCCAAGACCACCCCTCCCCACCTGCACTCATTTACCACCCTCGCCCAGAGGGTCTCTAAGCACTGTGGGACCTTCCACTCTCCAACCGCACATTGCGGGAAGCAGCTCAGCCCCTAGCTCACCCCGCAGACACAGAGATCCGTGGGGGTTGGGAGGGGGGCGGGGAGGGGGGCGGGTTGCCCGGATTTTTCGGTTCTGGTGAGAAGCAGCCCTGGGTATTTCTCAATGATCCGTCAGTTTGACTTCTGTGTTCTAGGGTCATCGGACTATAATCCACAGATCCAGGCATTCCTGTGGCCTCTTTTTGTGTGTGGGCTAGGAATGGTCTGGAGATTTTTAAAGGGCTGGATGAGCCGGGCGCGGGTGGCTCACGCCTGTCATCCTAAACTACTCAGGAGGCTGAGATGTGAGGATTATGGTTTGAAGCCAGTCTGGGAAGGGAACTCTGTGAGACCGCTTATCCCCAATAAACTTCTCAGATAAGGCTGGAAGTGGCGCTGTGGCTCAAGTGGTAGAGTGCTAGCCTTCAGCAAAAGAAGCTCAGGGACAGTGCCCAGGCCCCGAGTTCAAGCCCCAGGACTGGCAAATAAATAAATAAATATAAAGAGCTGGATAAGGAGGAGAAATCAAAAGGGCAATGCAAAGCCTAAAATCTCCTCATCCTCATACCACCATGATTTACAAACAGGGCCTTGACATCTGGGCAAGCACATTAAAAAAAACCAACTGGTTTTTTTTGGGGTGTGTGTGTGTGAGATATGGACCACTATTCTCCTGGGATGTCAGCTGTGTGCCACCATGCCCAGCTTTTATTGTCTGATATGGGGATCTCTCTGCCATCCACCTACCTCTGAATGCCAGCGTGGCCTGGGCTTATGTGGTCTGGACAAGAAAAAGATATGCCAATGCTTGCTGTGGAAAACAATCCATCATTGGAAAACAGATGTTTTGAAGAATCCCTTGTTATTGTGAGTTGTGCACAGGGAGACATCTAACAAGAGATGTGCAGGATCTCTCTGGTAAAAACTTGAACGCAGTAATGGAGGGAAAATGTAAGGATCTTCAAGGAAATGGAGAGGCATACAATGTTCATGGAACGAAAGGCTCGATGTCATGAAGAAAAGCTCAGGGACAGCTCCCAGATCTTGTACGACATGGGTGAATCTCAAATGTAAAAAGTCAGGTACCAAAACAACACACTGTACAAACGTGCTTACCCAATTCCACAGAAGAAAGTACAATTATAGGCCTGACCAATGAATGGGTGGGTTTCTATAGAATAGAAGGGGAAAGAAATTTCTGCCCACTAAGGTGAGGCCAGGGGTAGACTTCGCAGTCTCTGTTCCGCACAGTCTACTTCTAACAGGCCTCCCAAGACAGGGAGCTGTCAGGTCAAACTGGTTCTGGGAAAACTTGTCCCACCACATCCAGATCCTCCACTTAAAAAGAAATTATGCATTGTTTGCTATAAAAATACAATCTCAGGGGCTGGGAAGGTGGCTCAGTGGTAGAGCGCTTGCCTTGCATGCCTGAGGCCCTGGGTTCAATTCCTCAGCACCACATAAGCAAAAAAGAAAAAGCCAGAAGTGGTGCTGTGGCTCAAGTGGTAGAGCGCTAGCCTTGAGCTGAAGGACAGCGCCCAGGGCCAGAGTTCAGGCCCCACAACCGGACCCCCCCCCCAAAAAAAATAGAATCTCAGCCGGGTGCTGGTGGCTCATGCCTGTCATCCTAGCTACTCAGGAGGCTGAGATCTGAGGATCGTGGTTCAAAGACAGCCGGGGCAGGAAAGTCTGTGGGACTCTTAACTCTAATAAACCACCCAGAAAAGGCTGGAAGTGGCACTGTGGGTCAAGGGGTAGAGCGCTGGCCTTGAGCTGAAGAGCTGAGGGACAGCGCTCAGGCCGAGTTCAAGAACCAGGACCGGCAAAAATAAATGAATCAATGAATAAATAAATGAGTAAAATCCCGAGGCCAGATGCCCATGGCTCCCGCCTGTCATCCCAGCTGCTCGGAGGCTGAGATCTGAGGATCGCGGTTCAGAGCCGGGCTCGTGCCCGGCCCCGAGGTCAGGCCCCGGCCCCGGCCCCGCCCGAGTCTGGCCCCTCGGCGGCCGGTCACCTCGCTGGGCAGACAGGTGTGGATTTTCGGGGGGGCTGGGCTGGGCCGGTGCGCAGGCGCGCACTCACCGCGCCGCTCCTCCGGGGGCGGGGCCTCCGGGGGCGGGGCCTCCGGGGGCGGGGCCTCCGGGGGCGGGGCCTCCGGGGGCGGGTCCTCCGGGGGCGGGGCCTCCGGGGGGCCGCAGAGGCACCGAGCCTCAGACCCGGATCTCAGGAGGGGCCCGGGGCTCGAGGCCAGGCCGCCGGGCTGCGTGCGGACCCCAGCTCCCACCTCCCACCCAAAGAGGCTCAGACACGACTGGGGCGCAGCTTTATTGGGGTCTGTCCGGGCAGGGGGAGGGCGGAGAGAGGGCGGGGCGGGGTCAGTCCAGGGGCTGCGCGCGCAGCCACAGGCCGCCCTCGGCGCGCAGGATGAGCTCCGGCTTCCGGCGCGGCTCGGGCCCCGCGGCGCCCCCTGCGGGCAGCACGCGGAAGCGCAGCAGCGTCAGCGCCAGCGCCACCTTCATCTCGCTCAGCGCGAAGGTCTGCCCGATGCAGTTCCTGCGGGGTCGGGGGGTGACGGGGGGCCCGGGTTGCCGGGGCCGCGGAGGACGGGGAGCCCCGGGGGGATGGGGCCGTGGAGGACGGGGGGCCCGGGGTGCCGGGGCCGCGGAGGACGGGGAGCCCCGGGGGGACGGGGGGGGGGACGGGGAGCCCCGGGGTGCCGGGGCCGTGGAGGACGGGGAGCCCCGGGGGGACGGGGAGGGACGGGGGGGCCCGGGGTGCCGGGGCCGTGGAGGACGGGGACCCCGGGCGGACGGGGGGTGACGGGGAGCCCGGGGGGACGGGGGTGACGGAGACCCCGGGGGACGGGGGGGTGACGGGGATCCTGGGCAGATGGTGGGGGTGACGGGGACCCCGGGCGGACGGGGGGGGTCTGCCCCCAGCTAGACCAACGGGCGGGGGAAGCTCAGCAACGGTGCCCCCGTTCTCCAAACTACTCAACTCCGGCGTGCACCCAATCTCCCAACTACCACGAGCAACCTGCGCGCCCCAACCTCCAACCCACTGCGTGAAACCTATGCACCCCACACTTAAACCGCCGCAGGCAACCTGCGCGCCCCAACCTCCAAACCACTGCGCCCGCTGCGCACCCGTCTCCAAATCATTGACTCACCCGTGTACCCCAATCCCCAGCCACTGCGCCCCCCGGGCAGCCAGGCGGTGAGGAGCCCCGGACGGCTCCGGCCTCCGTCTCCCTGGCCCGAGGCCGGCTCCGGCCTCCCTCCCCCCCGCCCCCCCCAGCGGGCCCAGGCCTCACCTGGGCCCTGCCGAGAAGGGCATGAAAGCCAGCGGACATCTGTCCTGCACGTTTTCTGGGTGGAAGCGGTAGGGGTCGTAGACCTAGGGGTGCGGCAGGACTGGACGGTTGTGTCTTTCAATTCAGGAGGCCCCCTCCCTCCCGCGCCCCAAAAAAAGGCCGCCACCGATGCAAGAGCCGCACCGGGTGAGAGGGCCGGATCCCTGGCCACGCCCCTCGAGGGTCGGGGCGGAGCCGCACAGACCACGCCCCTCGAGGGTCGGGGCGGAGCAGTACAGACCACGCCCCTCCGTCGGTGCCTGTGTGGACAGCAGGCCACATGTTGACCACGCCCCTTGACAGGTCTCCTGACGGATAGGCGGGACAGCAGCGCCGGCCACGCCCACAGGGTCCCACGAGGGGGCGGGGCGATACACGCCACGCCCATGACAACACATCAGAGGGCGGGGCAGTCTGGCCACGCCCCCAGGGTCCAGGGATGGAGGGGGCGGGGCCGCACCTCGGGGTCCGGCCAGACGGAAGGGTTGTGATGGATTCCGAAGATGCTGATGACGCAGATGTTCCCTGTGGGGAGGCAGAGCCGTTCGTTCACGGGAAGTCTGCGCGGCCTGCTGGGCTCCAGGACCCGGCGCCCCCCTCCCCTCCTCCCCCGCCCCCCCCCCGTCCTCCCCTCCTCCCCCGCCCCCCCCGCCCCTCCCCTCCTCCCCTCCTCCCCCGCCCCCCCCGCCCTCCCCTCCTCCCCCGCCCCTCCTCCGCCCCGCCCCCCCCGCCCTTCCCCCCTCCCCTCCTCCCCCGCCCCCCGTCCTCCCCTCCTCCCCCTCCCCTCCCCTCCCCCCCCCCCCCCCCGCACCTCTGGGGATGACCCGGCCGTCGGGCAGCTGCACGTCCCGCGCGCAGCGGCGGGAGATGACGGTGACGGGCGGGTGCAGCCGCAGGCTCTCCTTGAGGCACATGGTGAGGAAGGGCAGCCGGGCCAGGTCGTCCCTGAGGGCGCCCGCCGTCACCGGGGCGCGCACCCCTCCTCCCGGCCTCCGTCCCTCCCTCCCAGGAGAAGCCGGGCGTGGCGCTGCGGCCCAGGCGGCAGAGCGCTGGCCTCGCGCGCGAGGAGGCCCGGGGTTCAAGACCCGGGACCGGCACCAAACAAAGAACCTCTCAGCCCTCCGCGGGCCAGGCTTTGGCTCCTACTCTTACCAAGCAGGGATGGCGCACACAGCCCCTGCCCCTCCTGGGGGCGCAGCCGGGGAGAGGCCCCGGCCCGGCCCAGGGCCGCGCTCACCACTCCACCTCCTGCGGGTCGCGGTCCCTCAGCAGCTCCCGCACCTCCTGCCGGCAGCGCTCCTGGTGCTGCGGGTGCGTGGCCAGGTTGTAGAGGACCCAGGAGAGCCCGCTGGCCGTGGTGTCGTGGCCTGAGGGGCGGCCGCAGGGCGGGGTCACCGGGCTGCGCGTGGACAGCGCAGGGCAGGGAGGGCCGGCGGGGAGGGGGCAGGCGCAGAGCGGGGCCACGCAGGGACCAGCCGCCAGGGCCCCAGGGTGGGGGGACCCACACGTGGCCCCAACTCAAAACCCACACTGGGACCCTCACCCCCAAACATGAAGGTGTCGGCCTCCGCTCGGATGTCCTGGTCAGACAGGGCCTTCCCGTCCTCATCCTGGAAGAGAAAATGCTTGCAGACCACACCATGTCTGAGGGCCCTAGACACCATCAAGAGTCACCTCTAAAATGTACTTCCAACTTCCCCCTCTTTCCCTGCGCCTCCCCAGTGCCTTCTGCATCAAGTCCAACTTCTCTTAGACATTTTTGTTGGCTTTGTGTGTGTGTGCTTGTGTGTGTGTGCATACGGTGACGTGCTAGTACTGGGACTTGAACTCAGGGCCTTTCCCTCTCCCTTAACATTGTCATTCAAGGCTGGGGCTCTACTGCTTGAGCCACACCGCCACTTCTGCCTTTCTGCTGGTTACTTGGAATCTTATGGACTTGAGCCACAATTCTCAGATCTCAACCTCCTGAGTAGATGGGATTATAGGAATCAACCACTGGGCCTAAGGTGACAGCTAACATCAAAAGTGTCCCCAGGGAGGCCCACCTTGGCCAGGAGCAGTACATCGATGAAGTCCAAAGTCCTGGTCTTGGCCTTGGCCTTGAGGAAGCCCTCGGGGCCCTGGCTGGCAAGGGTGCGTTGCCGTTCGCGGATGATGCTGTCGGTGAAGCTGTGCACCAGGCGGCAGGCTTTGCGGAAGCGCCGGCCGTCGGGGGTGAGGTAGTACAGGAAGTCCTTGTGGAGGAAGATCTGCTGGTACCGTTTCACTACGAGTGTGCTCAGCTCCAAGATGGCTTGGATGTAGTCACTGCGACTCCTGCAGGGCCAAACCGGGACACCGGGGCTTTGTTGTAGTTGTTTGGTAGAAGTGGACTTGAACTCAGGATTTCAAGCCAGCCAGGCAGGCATGCCCTCATCCCTTTCTCTTGCTTTTTACCCAGGCTCATCTAGACTACGATCCTCCTATTTATACTTCCTACCCAGCTGGGTGACAAAGGCTCAGTTGTTACTAGTTGAGGTGAGGGAGGGGTCTCTTGAACTTTTTTTTTTTTTTTTGTCGGTCGTGGGGCTTGAACTCTGGGCCTGGGCGCTGTCCCTCAGCTCTTCAGCTCAAGGCGAGCGCTCTACCACTTGAGCCACAGCGCCACTTCCGGTTTTCTGGTGGTTTATTGGAGATAGGAGTCTCACGGTCTCTCCTGCCCGGGCTGGCTTTGAACCGCGATCCTCAGATCTCAGCCTCCTGAGTAGCTAGGATGACAGGCGTGAGCCACCAGCGCCCGGCGAACTTTTTGTTTTTTAAACTGAGGCTGGCTTTGAACCATGATCCTCAGATCTCAGCCTCCTGAGTAGCTAGGATGACAGGCGGGAGCCACCGGCGCCCAGTTCTGCGACGGTTAATTCCATCAACCTGATTGCACAAGAGATACCTAGGAGATGGTGGACCAAGCGTGCCTGTGACCTCTCAGACACAACTGTCAGGAAACTTCCAGACAGGACTAAGCGGGGAGAAGACTCATTCTGCTTATGGGAGGCTCTGTCCCCTAGGTGGGGACAGGGGTAAGAGAATAAAGGGAAGAAGGAAGAAGCCGCCAGCCCCAGGCCCCTCCCCCTTTTCACTACTTCCTGACGGCCACACGGTGAGCTGCCCCCCCCACCCGCTCTGATGAAATGAAAGCTCTGATGGGGGAAGGCACACCACATCTTTCCTGCCTTAAGCTGTTTTGTTCAGAACTCGTGTCACAGAGGTAGGAATCCGGGTAACACGTTGCCTCAGACTCACTTCCGGTCCCCAGTGCCCTGCTCTGCTCACCTTGCTGGCTAGCCTTCACTCACATGAATCTACCCGGCCTGGAGGGACCACTCACTCGCCCTTCCATTCCAGTTCTCCTCCTCTTCCTCCAGGAAGGCCCCTGGGTTTTCTCCAGACATTCCTCCCTCCCCTTTCTCCTCCTGGGTGTCCATGGGCCAGATTTCCAGGTCTGAGCAGGGACTCACTCCTGGCAGTTGCTGTCAAAGCCGAAGACACATCTCTGCAGACTGTCCAAGGTCATGAGGCTGATGTGCTCGAACATGTCCAGACTCGTGACGCCCTCCGCGATCAGACGCCGCCACTTGGCCTGGCCAGAGAAGGGGACAGGGCTGGAACCAATGCCAGGTTGGTGAGTAGGGTTGGGCCAGCCTTCCTGGTCCTCTGCCCAGGTACCTAACCCCCAGGAAGGGAGTTGAACCTGTGACTGGGAGCTGAAGGGAACCAGGAGCCATGGGTCCAACAGATAAGCTGGCTGCTTTTGTATCTGAGGTGCCAGGTTCAAATCCCTGGTCTGCCACCCAGCATCACCCACAGCCAGGTGGGCATAAGTTACGTTAGTAAGCATGCCTGCTTTCTCTGGCACATAGTATGTGCTTAGTTAAATGGGAACCACCGACATCACCTTTATTGTTAACCCAGTGGTGGCTGGTTACGACGGGACCCCAGCCTCCATCTCTCTCCACCCTCCGCCCTGACCGTGGAGATGATGGCCCCTTCCCTCGGGAAGCAGAGCCTGCTTCTCCCTGTCTTCGCTCCGGCTCTGGCCTTGCAGATGGCGGCAGATATGTCATGGCTGGCATGGCGGGCCATGGAACGTCTCTGCCAGCAAGCCCTGGGTGTTCCCAGAGGCCCTAGGTTCCAGGCACGCACGTGCATGGTGTTCACGCTCCTGTTGAAGATCTTCACGTATGGCTTCAGGATGTTGAAGTGGAAGGCGGGGGTCAGCAAGCGGCGCCGGTGGCTCCATTTGCTTCCGGCGCTCAGCAGGAGTCCATTTCCTAGTGGAGGGGGGAGAGGGGAGAGGAGGACTGATGACTGGGGGGGGGGGGCGGGCGCCTGGCCCTCCCTCATCCCAGCCTCAACTGCCCGCCCGCAGCGGCTTGCTCACCCAGCCAGGGCTCCAGGAAGTTGTAGAGCGTCATCTCCTTGGGGGCAAAGTCAGCTGACATGGAGGAGAACCATCACGGGCCGCGCAGGGTGTGGAGCTCCCAGAAGAGGGGGGAGCATCCCCATGTCCCCCTCCAAGCCCAGAAGGAAGGCAGAGGAAGAGGGGAGACACGGCTAGCCCAGGCCAGGCTGCAACGCCCAGCAGAGCAAATGCCCGGGCTAAGGCGCAAAGCACACCGCTGCACGACTCCACGTGCATCTGCCGTGTCCCACCTGACGGGGCGAGCATGCTGCACACGCACGCACGCACGCACGCGCGCGCACGCACACACACGCGCATGCACACACGCACACGCACGCACACACGTGCACGCAACGCACGCGAGCGCACACGCACGTGCACACGCACGCACGCAGGCACGCACACGTACGCACGCATGCACATGCACACACGCATGCACGCACATGCACACACGCACACGCGCGCACACACGTGCACGCAACGCACGCGAGCGCACACGCACGTGCACACGCACGCACGCAGGCACGCACACACGTGCACACACACGCGCGCACGCACGCGCGCACACATGCACGCGCGCACATATGCACGCACACGCACGCATGCACACACACGCATGCACACACGCACACGCATGCACACACGCACACACGCACGCACGCACACGCACACACATGTACGCACGCACGCACACGCACACACATGTACACACGCACACACACACGCGCACGGACACGCATGCACACACACACGCACACACACACGCACACACGCGCGCATGCACACACGCACACGCACGCACACACGTGCACGCAACGCACGCGAGCGCACACGCACGTGCACACGCACGCACGCAGGCACGCACACACGTGCACACACGCGCGCGCACACATGCACGCACACGCACGCATGCACACACACGCATGCACACACGCACACGCACGCACACACACACACACGCACGCACGCACACGCACACACATGTACACACGCACACACACACGCGCACGGACACGCATGCACACACACACGCACACACGCGCGCGTGCACACGCACACACACATGCACACGCACGCACACATGCACGCGCACACACACACATGCACGCGCACACACATGCACGCACACACACACAGAGTCATCCCGCCCCTTCTTCTCAGCCCGGCCTTTCTAGAGGGGGGAGAGGAGGCGAGGGACATGCCAGTGAGTGGAATCCCCGCAGACATACCTGGGGCCTGGAGCAGGGGGGCCACGAACTTGGGGTGGACGAGCCGCAGGATGGGGCAGATGGGCCCAATCCACCACAGGTGGACGTCCCGGAAGCAGCGGCCCAGCTCCTCCACCAGCTTCATGCTTTCCTCGTTGCTTTTCGTCTAGGGAAGGAGAAGCCGAGGCCAGTTCGGGCAGGAGGCCGTCGGGGCCCCCCCAGCCTGCCCCTGTCCTCAGCCTGCCCCTGCCCTCCGCTTCTCCCGACGGTCCATCTGTGCTGCCACCGGGCAACCTCTGCCGTCCACAGCTGTCTCTTTTGGTTCCCGTGCATCTCTCTCTTTTTCAGTGCGTCTCTCTGATTCCTTCCTCTCTTCCTCTGTTTCTTGCCCTACGTAGGAGTATGAATGATGGATGGGTGGAAGAGATGAAGAGAAGGATGAAAGAAATAATAGCAGCCTGGTACTGGTGGCTCCCGCCTGTCATCCCAGCTCCTCAGGAGTCTGAGATGTGAGGATTGTGGTTTGAATCCAGGCCAGTCAGGAAAGCCCATGAGACACTGCTCTCCCACCAATAAAGCAATTAACTAGCAAAAAAATTGGAAGTGGAACTGTGGCTCAAGTGGTAGAGCAGAAGCTCAGGGACAGCATCCAGGCTCTGAGAGTTTAAGTCCCATGACTGTCCCAAGAAAAAAGGTCACATTTTATTCATGCCAGCACTAGTGACTCACGCCTGCAATCCTAGCTACTCAGGAAGCTGAAATCTGAGGATCAGGGTTTGAAGCCAGTCCAGGCAGGAAAGTCTGTGAGACTCTGATCTCCAATAAACTAGTCAGAAAAAGCCGGAAGTGGCGTTGTGGCTCAGGTGGTAGAGCACCAGCCTTGAGCACAAAGAGTCTCGGGGACAGCGCCCAGGCCCTGAGTTCAAGCCCCAGGACTGGCAAAAAAAACAAAAACAAAAACTAAAGAAATGAAGTCTATTGGTACTTGTTGGTGGAGAGAGAGAGGAAGATAAGAAAAGGACACTCTGCCCCTACGGTGCCCGGCTAGTAACTAGGGGGTCCTCACTCACAGCAGCTCAGAGATAAGTGTACACTTGCCTGAGGCCAACAGAGATGATTCGCACAGGGTGGAGGCTCTGTGTGGTCCACAAAGTAGGCCTCAAAGTCAAGGGTAGAAACTGAGTCAGAGGAAGGGGATCTGTGATCTGTGCTTGGTGTGGCCCAGCCTATGACCCCCAATAATCCAGGGATGCACCCATGACAGAATAGCCTGAAATGTGAGCGGGCTGAGGACAGGAATGGGCTGGGCAGGATATGAAGAAAGAGAAGCTTCGCGGGGCCTCTCTGCCTCACTTTTCTGCTATCCTAAGCCTCAAACATCTCCCCCCCCCCCCGCCCCCCAGGCCTTAAGCCCATTCCCTACTCCTTGGGAAACCACCGTGGGCTCTCGACCCATCGTGCTCACCAGGCCCAGGTGACCCCAAAACCAGCTCCGTTTGGTGGGCTGTGGGAAGCATCGAAGACGGCAGCAGTTGTCATAGAAAGCGTAGGTCCAGGTCAGGAGTCGAGCCAAAAGCCATGAGGCTCCAGCCAGCAACAGGAGCGTCCACGGAGAGATGGTCAGCAGCCAGCCCAGGCCCAGGTAGGACAGACTCAGCTGCAGCATCCTGTGGGACCGAGGGACAGAGCGGAGCTCAGGAGACGATCCGGAACTCCAGGAACACAGAGGCATGGACCGTGCGTGAGTGCTGGTAAAGAGAAGACAGTCCCAGGGAACAGGGAGTGGCGGGAGTGGAGAGGAGGAACAGAGGATGGAGAGGCGAGACAAAGGTGGACATGGGGAGGAAGGCAAATCTGTTTGAGTCTAGATCTCCGACTTGGAGTCAAGGGGGAAGTCATGAGAGAATGTTACCCAGAAACCACCAGTCTCTGGAGCCCGCTGGCTCCCTGGAGCCCCCCGACCTGGTGCGGTGCCCGCCCCCTTTCAGGCCGCGGCCACCTTCCCCAGCGTGGCACCTTCTTCCAGGAGCAACTTCTCTCTCACCAACTCTGGGACTTCCTTGTCTCCCGCTACTGAGGAGGAGTCTGTAGGAGGCCAGGCTGTGGTGCACTAGCCAATCCCTTGCAGACCCAGCTGCGCCCTCCCACACTGGGCAGGGAGCCAAGGTCTGAGGGCAAGGACAGCTGGGAAGGCACACAGGGAAACCAACTCAGGGTCACAGGCTGACAATGGGCTCTCAGGAATCAGCACCTTCTGCTCTATCGGGGGGTTAAAGAAGACTTTAACCCCCAGCCCTTCCAATGGCCAAGGACGGCAAGTAACAGCATGAATTTGGAGTTCAGGCCCCAGGAGATCAGGGCTAGATCAAGTCTTGTCTCAGATCATCTCCCCAGAGCCCCTGAGGTTGAGCAGAGAAGATGCAATGTCCCATTTCTCCTGGAGAATTCTGAGGCTCTGGACATGAATCTCTAACTCACTAGCTGCACAACTGACAAGGGTTCAAGTCTCGCCTTCAGGCAGCGCAAGGTGTTGGTTCAGTTGCCTTTTTTTTTTTTTTGGCCAGTTGTGGGGTTTCAGCTCAGCACCTGGGCACTGTGCCTGAGCTCTTTTTGCTTCAGGTTAATGATGTACCACTTTGAGCCACAATACCACTTTCGGTTTTCTAATGGTTCATTGGAGGTAAAGAGTCTCATGGACTTTGCTGGCCTGGCTGGCTTTGAACTGTGATCCTCGGATCTCAGCCTCCTGAGTAGCTAGGATTGGCCATGACTTTTTTTTTTTGGTAGGTCATGGGGCTTGAATTCTGGGCCTGAATGCTGTCCCTCAGCTCTTCAGCTCAAGGCCAACGCTCTACCACTTCAGAAGCTCTACCCCTTGAGCAACAGCGCCACTTCCAGTTCTCTGGGTGGTTTATTGGAAAGATAAGAGTCTCCTGTTCTTTGTTGCTTTGTATGTACCTCCCCCACAGTATAACCCTTACTTTCACTGTATTTGATGTCAGTATAATTTGTGGAGGGGAAGGGAAAAAACAAATCATTTAAATAGGGATACAGGTGGACCCATTGCAACAATGAGATGTACAAGTCGTTATGTCGAAAACGAACTTTACAACTTTGGTGGGGGGGGGGGGGAGGAGGACTGGGTGGGGAGTGGAGGAGGATGGGAAGGGATGGGAAGGGGAAACAAAGGAGGAGACTACAATGCTTGATAAGAAATGTACTCATTATCTTGCCCATGTAATTGTAACCCTCTGTACAGTATTTTCACAATAAAAATATATATATTAAAAAAGAAGAGTCTCCTGGACTTTCCTGCCCAGGCTGGCTATGAATGGCGATCCTTAGATCTCAGCCTCCTGAGCTGTTGGATGACAGGTGTGAGCCACTGGCACCTTTGGTCATGACTTTAAAGAGCAGAAACAGAATGCTGTAGGTGTGGTTTAAGTGGTAGAGCACTGTAGCTGAGCAATTTGGGATTTCTTGGTTGAGGTACAAAGAATCCAGCCAGGCTGACTCTCTGGGTCTGACTGTGAGCTAAAGGGCTCACCTGGAGAAGCATCTGGAGTCCTCAGCTTCAGAGAGGGCAGAGGAGAAGTGTGGCAGAGGGGAAGGCTAAGAGGAACGAGGAGCCCATGGGAGGGCAGTCAGGAGACCGGGCAGAGTCCTAGCTGGTGGACAGCAATGGCCCCTCAGGGCTCAGAAAAGGTGTGGGGGGCATGTTTTGTCCAAAAACAGTCCCAAGTTCCCCTGTGTGCTGGTCTGAGCCTTCTCTACCTCGGGCAGGCTCCCAAATGCAGGTGAGTTTGAAGTGTGAAGCTGCCCAGCGAGACAAAAGGAGGCAAAGGTTCTCAAGTATCCCAACTTCCTGGGGCTGGTGGGACTAGAACCCACAATTGGTGAAGGGAGTCACCAACACTCAGTCACTCGGACTAGGAGTCTTCGTTAGCGGTGCGGTGACTTTCTCCACTATAGGGACAGTGAAGAACAGCAGCAAATTCAAATAGAGAGGGAGGGGTAGAGGGAGAGGGAGAGAGAGAGTCTGTCGTGGGGCTTGAACTCTGGGCTTGGATGCTGTCCTTGAACTCTTCAGCTCAAGGCACTCTACTGCTTGAGCCATAGTACCACTTCCGGTTTTCTAGTGGTTCATTGGAGATAAGAATTTTGTGGCCTTTCCTTCCTGGGCTGGGTTTGACTGTGAAGCTCAGATCTCAGCCTCCTGAGTAGCTAGGATGACAGGCGTGAGCCACCAGTACCTGGATCAGGGCTTTTTGTTGTTGTTGGTGGTGGTGGGGGTTGTGGAGCTTGATCTCTGGGCCTGGGCGCTGTCCCTCAGCTCTTCAGCTGAAGGTGAGCACTCTACTGCTTGAGCCACCACAGCACTTCCGTTTTTTTTTTTTTTTCCCAGTTTTTTTTTTTATTGTAAAGCTACTATACAGAGGGTTACAGTTACATGAGTGAGGTTATGAGTACACTTCCTCTTGAACATTGTTACCCCCTCCATTGTTTTCCCCCTACCATCCCCTCCCTCCCTCCCTTCCCCGAGGTTCTTTTTTTTTTTTTTTTTTTTGATTGTGATTAAATGATTACATAATTTCAAAGTCACAAGTTCATTCTAACTTCCCTGGAGCAAATTGTCTACCACAGTCTGTAATATATAACAGTGTTCACATGTTATATACCATATTTGTGATCAGCAGCATGAGGATATTTAGTAGTGGTTCAACCAGATGAGCGGGAGTTCTTTGTTTCTTAAGTCCTGTTAGTTTTGTCGTATCACCTAACCTTTTGGATTTAGCATCCACTCCGTTTTTCTGGTGGTTCATTGGAGATAAGAGTCTCATGGACTTTCCTGCCCAGGCTGGCTTTGAACCATGATCTTCAGATCTCAGCCTCTTGAGGACCTAGGATGACAGGCGTGAGCCACCGGCGCCCGGCTAGCTCAGGGTATTTGAAGGCAAGACCCATGGGGTGGTCAGTGGTAGTTTCGTGATCAGCAAAGAAGCTAAGTTCCAGGAGCAGAGCCAGCGGTGGGTGATTGCAAATGGCGATTATCATTCCAGTAGCCAAGGCAATCAGTCATCCAGGCAAAGCTCTGATTCCAGGTCTTCCCTTTGTTCCCGGTTTGGGTTTAACCGGTATTGATCAGTCTCTTCGGACGTTTTCCTTCGAATGGCTGCCCTGGAGTTTCTCTGCCTGAAATGTCTTGCTCTGCTGGCTCGCTGCATGCTCCCCTTCTCCTATAACCGCAGGCCTTGGCTTCCCGAGCCATCTTCTCCGGAAGCCATCCCTACCGGAAGTCATCCCCACCGGAAGTCCCTCCTTCCCCTATGCTGTGCCTCTGAAGACTGGCGGGGAGCCGGTTCCGAGTGAATGGTGGTCCCGGGCTCCAGGCGCCCTTTGCGCCGGCCAAACCACAGATAACGTACTTGAGGCCTTGTCTGTGGCCTGGGCCTGCAGCCAGCATTCTACAGAAAGAAACAGAATTCCTGCTCAAGTAGGGACATGGGAGTGGAGTCACGATTTATTTTTCTCTCTGTTTTTGTACCGGTCCCGGGGCTGGAACTCAAGGCCCAGGTGCTGTCCCTGTGCTTTTTTGCTCAAGGCTAGTGCTGTACCACTTGTGCCACGTCTCTACTTCCAGCTTTTGAGTGAGTGGTTAATTGAAGATCAGAGTCTCACGGGGACTGTCCTGCCTGGGCTGGCTTCGAACTGCGATCCTCAGATCTCAACCTCCTGAGTAGCTAGGATGACAGGCGTGAGCCACTGGGGTCTGGCTGGGCTAATCTTAATTGGAGATTTTTTTTTTGGGGGGGGGTCCGGTCATGGGGCCTGAACTCTGGGCCTGGCCACTGTCCCCGAGCTCTTCATCTCAAGGCTAGCACTCTACCACTTGAGCCACAGTGCCACTTCCAGCTTTTTTCTTTATTGCTTATGTGGTGCTGAGGAATCGAACCCAGGGCCTCATGCATGCAAGGTAAGCGCTCTACCACTGAGCCACCTTCCCAGCCCCTTAATTGGAGATTTTTATCTCCAATTAACCACAGAAAACTGGAAATGGTGCTGTGGAAGAATGTGGTAGAGTGTTAGCCTTAAGCAGAAGATCTCAGAAACAGCACCCAGGCTTTGACTTCAAGCCCCAAGCCGACGAGAGAGAGAGAGAGAGAGAGAAAATCACCAAACCAGGCACTGATGGCTCATTCTTGTAATACTGACTCCTCAGGAGGCTGAAATCTGAGGATCAACATTGGAAGCAGCCTGGTCAGGAAAATCCATAAGATTCATCTCTAACCACCAAAACCCTGGAAGTGGAGCTGTGGCTCAAAGTGGTAGAGTGCTTGCTTTAAAACCTCAGGGACAGGTCCCAGGCCCTGAGTTCAAGCCCCATAACTGACAAAAACACAAAAGAACTCCTGCCCATTTATGTTTAGTATGACACTATTCACACTAACCCAGTTATGAAATCAGCCTATGTGTCCATCAATGGATAAATGAATGTTTTTTTTTTTAAATGTTGCTTATGTGCACTTATATGGAGTGTTACTTAGCCATAAAGATGTCATGAGGGAAAGTGTCAGATACCGAGTTTGAGTTTGGGTCTTGAACAAAATAAATAAAGTTTACCTCACATGGAACCTACAGTTAAAGAAGACATAAAAGTAGAAAGGGGGATTATTAGGAAACAGGAAGGAGTCCAAAGGAGATATAAAACTAGGTATGGTGACTCACACTTGTAATCCTAACTGCTCAGAAGTCTAAGATCAGGAGGCTTTAGGTTTCAGGCCAGTCTAGGCAAAAAGTTCATGAGACCCCATCTCAACCAATACAGAGCTGGACACAGTGGTACACACCTGTCTATCAGGAAGCATCAGTAGGAGGGTTAGTCCAGTTGTAATCATGGAGCCAGATCCTATTTTGAAAAACAAGGAAAGCTAACCGAGCTAGAGTTGGAAGAGCGGCTAACACAGTAGAGTGTCTGACAGGTGCAAAGCCCTGAGGTCAATCAGAATAGCAGAGCCAGCCAAGGCATCAAGTGCAAATATTTTATTTGGAAATGACAAGAATTCAACAGCGAATGGTCTCAGGGAGTTGATCTCAGGAACCCAGCAGGACAGTGGGGAGGTGAGATGGGAAGGTGGGGGGGGGTCAGAAGTGAAAGGAAGAGACAGCACCAAACACAAATCCTCAGTATTGTTCCTCCCAGAGCGAGGTAGCGGGGTCTTTACCCACCCAGACTGGATACCAGGCTGCTTGATAGGGCAGAGGTCCCGTGAACGTCCTGTCAGGGGCTCCAGCCGTGAACATCAGGCCTGCACACACGGTCACTCAAATCCAAGGAGCTGGGGTTGGCCCGCACATGACCCTGAATCTGCCTGTGGTCTCCCGGCCGTCCAGCAGAGGGAGCGACTCCCCCGTGGAAGCGAGGGCCGAGCCCATCAGCCGTGCCCGGGCTGGCAGTGCTTTGCCAGTGACACCTGCCCCCTCTGGCTTTTATTCTTCAAAATCAGAACACGCAGCAAGCGGGAAGGGGCTTTGCGGGGGATCTGGGTTTATCAAACGACGAAAGCCCAAGTCTGACTGCAGACTTGGGGTCCTGAGCTGTCCCCACGTGACTCGAGGGGCTCGCGGATCCCACGCTGGGCTCCAGCTCCGCGGTCCTCCGCGGTCCTCCGCGTGGAAGCCAGCCAGCCTGGTCCGGCCAGCGGGGAGGCGGGGCTTGACACCTCAGAAGCCTGTGGGCGGGGCACGAAACACGACACCGCGGGGGCGTGGCCTGCCATACGTTCCTGGGAGGCATGGCTTAAGGCAAGGGGCATGGCGGGCATGGCTTGCACAGCCTGGTCTCTCAAGCCCAGGGGCGGATAGAGGCGGGATAAGGATGTCAGGGGGCGGGGCCTTTTGCCTCGGGGGCGTGGCCACAACCAACAGGCTGCTGCTGGTAGCGGAGCCCGGTCCTTGAGGAGAGAAGCCTGGACTTCGAGGGGCGTGGCTTATTCTCTTGGGGCGTGGCCTGCGCCATCGGGGCGGGGCCTGCCCCCCTCCTGGGCGGGAATGTGGCTTCCTTGGATCTCCCTGGGCGGGGCCTAGGCCTTATTGGGCGGGGCCTGGGCCTCCTGGGCGGGGCCTGGGCCCGGGTCCGCGGCGGCCCGCCGAGGCAGCGGCTCCACGTTGAGCCAGATGCCGTTCTCGGTGCGGAGGATGAGCTCGGGCTTCCGCCGCACCTTGTGCGTGCGGTCCACGCTCAGGCGGAAGCGCAGCAACGTCAGCGCCACGACCACGCGCATCTCCGCCATGGCGAAGCTCTGTCCGATGCAGTTCCTGGGGGACGGGTGACAACGAGGTGAGACTTCGAGAAGCACGGGGCCGGGCCCCTGAGCTGGGCCGGGCCCCCCGAGCTGGGCCGGGCCCCCCGAGCTGGGCCGGGCCCCCTGAGCTGGGCCGGGCCGCTGAGCTGGGCCGGGCCCCCTGAGCTGGGCCGGGCCCCCGAGCTGGGCCGGGCCCCCGAGCTGGGCCGGGCCCCCCGAGCTGGGCCGGGCCCCCCGAGCTGGGCCGGGCCCCCGAGCTGGGCCGGGCCCCTGAGCTGGGCCGGGCCCCCTGAGCTGGGCCGGGCCGCTGAGCTGGGCCGGGCCCCCTGAGCTGGGCCGGGCCCCGAGCTGGGCCGGGCCCCCGAGCTGGGCCGGGCCCCCTGAGCTGGGCCGGGCCCTGAGCTGGGCCGGGCCCCCGAGCTGGGCCGGGCCCCCGAGCTGGGCCGGGCCCCCGAGCTGGGCCGGGCCCCCGAGCTGGGCCGGGCCCCGAGCTGGGCCGGGCCCCTGAGCTGGGCCGGCGCCTGCAGGGTCTCCTGCTTTCCCGGGGAGGGGCCCGTGCAGAACGGACTGGGGTTGGAGGGAATGACAGGTGGGGAGGGCGCGGTCGCCGCCGCCCCGGGGGGGGGGGGGGGGGAAACCGAGTCCCTTACCTGGGCCCCGCAGAGAAGGGTACGTAGGCCAGCGGCGACCGCGGCTGTGGCTGGTCGGGGTCGAAGCGGAAGGGGTTGTACACCTAGACGGAAGAGCCTGGGGTGAGCCTGGGGGCGGGGCTAGCCCAGACCGACGGCTCCGCAGCCAGGGGGGCCCCCACGCACACGCGCTCACCTTGGAGTCAGGCCACACCGTGGGGTTGTGGTGGGTTCCGTAGATGCTGATCAAACAGATGACTCCTGTGGGGACAGACCAAGGTCACGGGCGGGCGGCAGGGCCAGGAGGCCTCCTCCGCCAACGCCCCCTCCCTCCCTCCCCAGATCCATTTTATTCTCCCGAGCCATCTGCCGCCACTTCCCAATCATCCCTCTCTAGAAACTTCTCGGGCCCTGTCTACTCCCCCTGCCTCTCCCTACCACCTCCCCCAGCTGCCATGGCTGGCCCGGCCGGTCACCGCCTTGGCGCCCTGCTGCCCTCGGGCTGGAGGGCAAGGCCCCTCACAACCCGCACCCTTGAAGACGGGCCTCCTCCGGGACAGACACCCCCTGGCCTTCCTCCCCAGGACGGATGAAAACATCTCTCCCCTCCCGTCTCTCCCTGGAGCCCATCCCTCACCCCACACAGCTGGGAAGATCTGTGTGTGTGTGTGTAACAGCCCACAGGCCAGGTGGATTGACACCCAAGGCCTAGGCCTTGGAACTTTCTAGATTCCCAACCTTGATCACCAAGGGACAGTTGGAATTTAAAAGAGTCCCCTGCCATCTTGCCCCTTTCCTGGGGCCAGCTGGCCACCCCAGTTCCTTCCTTCCTACCCGGGCACGCTCTTCTCCAGCTCCCCTATATGACACACTTGGTTTCACCCTCCAAAGCAACAGGCCCAGCTAGCCAGCTGCCCCGTGCATCCAGGCCCCTGAGCGGGGCACATGGTGGGCACCTTTGGGGATGACACGCCCATCTGGAAGCTTGATGTCCTCTGTGCAGCGGCGGGAGACCAGGGTCACCGGTGGGAACTGGCGCAGGCTCTCCTTGATGCACATGGTGGTGAAGGGCAGCTGGGTCAGATCGTCCCTGCAGAGCAGAGGGGCGTGAGTCCCGAGTGCATGCATGCGTGCACACGCACACACATGCAGGCAGAGAAGCAGCTCCAGGAGTGCCTGAGTTCAAGCCCCAGGACCAACACACACACACACACACACACACACAAATTAGACCACTGACTAATCAAAGTAGCTAAGTTCCATGGGGGGGGGTAGGATGGGGGGTGTATTTTGGGACTTTTTGTTTTGATTGTTGTTACTGTCACATGTAGATCCATCTGCTTCCACCTTCTGAGTGCTGAGATTATAGGGATGCACCACCATGCCAGGCAGGCTTGTTTTGTTTTGGTTGGCTGATTGCTTCCCCTCCTCCCCCCAGTTCTGAGGCCTGGGCACGGTCCCCGAGCTTCTTTTGCTCAAGGATAAGCAGTCTACGACTTGAGCCACAGCACCACTTCTAGCTTTTTCTGTTTATGTGGTACTGAGGAATCGAACCCAGGGCTTTATCTGTGCTAGGCAAGCACTTTACCACTAAGCCACATTCCCAGCTCGTGATTGCTTTTTTGCTTTGCTTCTTTGTTGTGGGACTTGAACCCAGAGCTTCATACGTTAGGCAAGCTTTCAACAATAGGAGTTACAATCCCAGCTGGTCTTCCTTCCTTCCCTTCCTTCCTTCCTTCCGTGTGTATGTGTGGGTATTGGAGGCTTGAAATCAGGGCCTCTTGCTTCGCTTTCGTACTCAAGGCTGACACTCTACCCCTTGACCACGCCTCCCTTCTGGTTTTCTCTTTGGCTTCCCTCTTCAGCCCCCTGACTTTCCACACTGACCACTCCAGTTCCTCCAGATCCCGGCCTTTCATGACTTCCTGGATCTCTTCCCGGCACTTCTCTTGGTATTCGGGGTACTTGGCCAAGTTGAACAGCACCCAGGACAGCCCGCTGGATGTGGTGTCGTGACCTGCAAGCCCAGGGGGGTGATGGGAAACGACCACACCTCAGCAGATGAGAGCAGGTGCTTTTGCCACCCCAGGGAGGCTCCCAGTGCCCTTTTCTGTGCTCACTCAGCCCCTGTACCTTACCCTCAAACATGAAGGTGTCCGCCTCGGCTCGGATGTCCTCATCGGACAGTTCCTTCCCGTCTTCATCCTGGAAAGAACAGGAGAGGGTGCGCAGTGAATTTCTGCTCCCCCACTACTCCAGAAGGCCCCCCCCCAAGGAAGCTGTAATGCCACTAATTAATCTAGGGGTGTGTGTGTGTGTGTGTGTGTGTGTGTGTGTGTGTGGTGCTGGAATGGAAACCAGGGCCTTGTACATAGTAGACAAGGGCTCCACCACAGAGCCCCAGCCTGGGTGATAGGATGTTATGATGTGGTCCATTGTTGACCAAAATGTCATTGGGTGGTGCTTAATCTTCTAAGCAGTCTTCAACACCACATTTCCCACTGATGCCCCAACAACTTTGTCATCAGATCGTTATCATTATCATCATTATTATTATTAATCAGTGGTAGTGGGGGTGGTGATGGAGGGACTAAGATCTGAAATCAGGGCTTCAAACTGGACTTGTTGGGTAGGTGTTCCCAAGCCATGCCTCCAAGTCCTGTCTCCAGGTCTTATGATCACCGTAATTGAGGAAACTGAGGAAAAGAGTAATGGCACCAAGATCAAAAATATAAATGAGCTGGGAAGGTGGCTCAGTGGTAGAGCGCTTGCCTTGTACGCATGAGGCCCTGGGTTCGATTCCTCAGCACCACATAAGCAAAAAGAAAAAAGCCGGAAGTGGCACTGTGGCTCAAGTGGTAGAGTGCTAGCCTGGAGCTGAAGAGCTGAGGGACAGCGCCCAGGCCCCGAGTTCAGGCCCCACTACCGGACCCAAAAAACAAAAAAACAAAAATATAAATGAGTCTGATGCTGCTAGCCTCTCGGAGGCTAGCCTACTCAGGAGGCTGAGAACTGAGGATCACGGTTCAAAGCCAGCCCAGGCAGGGAAGTCTGGGAGACTCTTATCTCCAACGAACTACCTGAAAACCAGAAATGGAGCTGTGGCTCAAATGGTACAGCGCCAGCCCTGAGTGAAAGAGCTGAAGGACAGCGCCCAGGCCCCGAGTTCAGGGCCCAGGACCGACAAAAACAAAACATCAACAAGGAAAAACGATCCAAAGTCCTGGGTTAGTTTCTAAGGACTGGAATCCTTCGTGTTAGATTAAAGCAGCCGGGCCGCCTGCAGGGCCCGCGGTGGCGGCCCGGCCCCCCGGGACCCCCCGGCCCGCCCCCCGGTCTCCCTCGGCCCGGCCCCCCGGTCCCCCGGCCCGGCCCCCCGCCCCCCAGACCCCCGGCCGGCCCCCTCTGCCCAGACCTCCCGGCCCGCCCCCCCGGTCCCCCTCGGCCCGGCCCCCCGGTCCCCCAGCCCGGCCCCCCAGACCCGCGGCCGGCCCCCCCAGACCCCCGGCCGGCCCCCCCAGATCCCCGGCCGGCCCCCGGCCCCCCAGACCCCCGGCCGGCCCCCCCAGACCCCCGGCCCGGCTCCCCAGACCCCCGGCCCGGCTCCCCGGCCCGGCCCCCCTCGGCCCGGCCCCCCGGTTCCCCGGCCCCCGGTTCCCCGGCCCCCCGGTCCCCCGGCCCGGCCCCCCGGCCCCCCAGACCCCCGGCCGGCCCCCTCGCCTTGGCCAGCAGCAGCACGTCGATGAAGTCCAGCGTCCGGCCCTGCTTGGCCTTCAGCCAGGCCTCGGCGCCCTGCCGCCGCAGCGCCCGCCGCCGCTCCTGGATGACCTCGGTGGTGAAGCGGTGCACCACGTCGCAGGCCCGGCGGTAGCGCCGCCCGTCGGCCGTCCGGTAGTAGATGCAGTCCAGGTAGTGGTGCAGCCGGTACTGGCGCCGCACCACCAGCGCGCTCAGCTCGATGATGGCCGAAATGTAATCGCTCATCTTCCTGCCGGGAGCAAGAGGAGCCGTGAGCCGCCCGGCCCCGGCCCCGACCCGGCTCCCACCTCCACCGGGCGATTCCTTAGATGGAGTAACGGAAGCACGTCCTTCCTGCAGGGGGGGGGCTGAGGGATGGAAAGCAGGACCGGCGGCCGGCCAGGTAAGGAGCCACGCCCCCTGGGACCTAGCCACGCCCCCAGCCGAGGCGTGCCCTGGAGCGCTGGACCACCCCCTAACGCTAGCCACGCCCCTAGTCCTTAACTACACCTCAGCATAAGGCATGCCTCTGCGGTGCCACGCCCCCTTACTGCCTAACCCCGCCCCGCCCTAGGCTCCGCCCCCAGCGCCCAGGCCTGCACTGCTGGACCACACTAGCCACGCCCCTACCACTGAACTACACCTCCCACGAACACCAGCCTCCGCGGTGCCACGCTCCCTGCCTAGCCCCGCCCCCGCCGCTGAGCTGCGCCCAACCAGTGAGCCGTGTTACCTACCCCGAGGGGAACCACGCCCCTTCCACAGAGCCACACCGCCAGCCGCGAGCCCCGCCCTCAGGAGGGGATGAATGAACCAAGGTAATAATTGCTATGTTCATTCATCCAACAAATACGAAGCACCTGAGTGTCAGGACAACTGCCACATCATTTCACCCTAAAAGAATCAGACACTGTCGCCTCGGTGAAACAGGGAAACCGAGGCTCAGGATGCACTGGTGGCACACACCTATGATCTTGACACTTGGGAATTTAAAGCAGGAGGATGGTGAGTTTGAAGTCAACCTGGGCTATATAGCAATAGTCCCCAAATAAAGGCCAGGAGGGTGGCTCACCCCTGTAATTCTAGCCACTGGGGATTGGTGATTGGGGGAGGGGGACGTGAGGATCTCAAGGATCACAGTTCATAGTCAGGCTAAGAAAGCAAACAAGACTGCATCTCAGCCAACGAGCCGGGCATGGTCACATACATCTGTGATCCCAGCTACCTGGAAGACATAAATAGGAGGCTTGTGATCTGAAACCAGCCCTGAGGGGAAACTGTTGGTGGGGGGAACTAAAACGAAAAGGGGACATGGCTCGAGAGGCTGGAGCACCTGCTTAGCAAGCACAAGGGCTGAATTCAAATATTAGTACTGCCAAAAAGAAAGGAGGAAAGGAGCTAGGCACTGGCGGCTTACACCTGTACTCTTAGTTACTCAGTAGGAGACTGATATCCCGAGGATCATGGTTTGAGGCCAGGCTGAGTAGAAAAGCCTGAGACATTCTTTCTCCCAATAACCATCTCAAATCAGAACTGGAAACCTGGCTCAAGTGGAAAAGTGCCAGTTGTGAGCAAACAAGCCACTCAAGAGCAGGAGACCCTGAATTCAAATCAAGGTATTGGCAAAATAAATAAATCAAAGAAGACAATATGGGGAGGGAGAGGTGGGCTGGGCTGCTTCCGCAGAATCGCACCCGTCTTTGTGGACAAATGAAGGTGGGGGGGGAGTAGCATTTATTTTTTGTTTGTCGGTCGTGGGGCTTAAACTCTGGGCCTGAACAGTCCCTGCGCTCTTCAGCTCAAGATGAGCGCTCTGCCACTTGAGCCACAGCACCACATCTGGTTTATTGGAGATAAGAGTCTCACAGACTTTCCTGCCCGGGCTGGCTTTGATCAGATTTCAGCCTCCTGAGTAGCTAGGCTGACAGGTGGGAGCCAGCGGCGCCCGGCTGTGGGAGTAGCATTTGGGAGCAGTCACGGCGTGCAAGTCCTTGATTTGCACCATTGATGCTCACAGGGTGACCAGGGGTCATTGCAGGTAGGGCTGGTAAGGAAACTGAGGGTGGAGGGAGGCCTCACTCACTCCTGGCAGTTGCTGCTGTGGGTGAACACACACTTCTGGAGGCTGTCCAGGGTCATGAGGCTCACGTGCTCAAACATGTCGAAGGAGGCCACGGAGCCCTGGCCCATCTGACGCCGCCATTTCGCCTGGAAGAGACACAGACACACACACACACACACACACACACACACACACACACACACGTGGCCGCATGGGCGTGGTGATCGCAGGGCCTGGTTTGTGTCCTGGCTGCAGACCCTGGGAAGGGAGGGCCCCCCAACACCCCCATATCCAGCCTCTCCCCACCCATCCCCCGCCCACGCCAGTCCAGGGCCCGCACACTCACGTGCATGATGTCTGAGCACTGGTTGAAGATTTTCATGTAGGGTTTCAGGATGTCGAAGTGGAAGGCGGGTGTGAGCATGCGCCGATGGCGGCTCCATTTGTCACCTTTGCTGAGCAGAAGTCCGTCCCCTAGGGCCCAAGGGTGGAAGTTGGGGGGGGGGGCCTCTCCTGCTCCTCTACATCCCCTCCCCCCTTCGTCGCCCCTCCCCCCTTCCTTCAAGCCCCCACCCCGACCTCCCCTCCATTCCCTCACCCAGCCAGGGCGTCAGGAAGCTGTAGAAAAAGTCATCCTTGGGAGCCACGGCAGCTGTGGAGAGAGTTGAGGTCAGCTGGGCGCCGGTGGCTCACGCCCGTCACCCCAGCTCCATCAGGAGGCTGCGAGCTGAGAATCAGTTCGAAGCAGGCCCAGGCAAAAAAGCCCCCGTGAGACTCTTGTTTCCACCAAATGACTCAAAAAGGCAGAAGTGGCGCTGTGGCTCAAGTGGTAGAGCGCTTGCCTTAAGCAAAAGCTCAGGGACAGCGCCCAGGCCCTGAGTTAAGCAGGAGGGGGGGGCCATAGTTCAAAGACGCACATCTGACCCTTGACCTCTGCACATGTCATGCCTTGGTTCTCCTTTCTGGGCCCTGACCTGTCTCTTCTCACACCAGTCCAGGCCGAGTTCAAGCTCAGCCTGGCACCCAAGGCCCCGCCTTGCCCTCCTGAGAACCCCAGGTCATGGGGCCTGAACTCTGGGCCTGGGCGCTGTCCCTCAGCTCTTCAGCTCAAGGCAGGTTCTCTACCACTTGAGCCACAGTGCCACTTCTGGTTTTCTGGTGGTTTATTGGAGATCAGAGGCTCATGGACTTTCCTGCCCAGGCTGGCTTTGATCCTTGATCCTCAGATCCTCCTTTCTCCTGAGCAGCTAGGAAGACAGGCAGGTGCCACAGGCTGGCCCCATTCTTTTCTGCCAGCTCAAGCCACCGGGATGTCCCCTCCCTTCCCCTCTCACCCCCGCCCTCTCCACCCTCCCTCACGGTCCTCCCTGCGGCTCCTCGTAGAAGTAATCTCCGTGTCACATCTGACCTCTCCCAGGTCACACACCAGTCATGCTCTAGCACTAGTGACTCAGCTCCTCTTCAAAGCCCCGCCTCCGTCCAGCCCTGGCTCAAGATGGGGCCGCCCTCCTCAGGCCCCACTGGATGCCAGAGAAGCATCACCCAGTGACTCCCACCCTCTGCCCTCAGCCTCTGGCCTGGATGTGGCTACTGCTCTCCCTCTGACCTCACCAAACAAGGGGTTGTATGCACCCAGGGGTGGACTTGGAGAAAGACCACATTGATGATCAATATTTGAAACTTTTCATTGGTGAAGCAATGAGTGAATCAAAGGATGGCCGAGTGAAAGAGCAAGTTAATGGATGGGTGGAGAGATGGATGGGGAAGTGGGTGGGTGAATGAGTGATGGGGGGGTGGATTGCTGGAGAGGTGGGTAGATGAATGGATGGATTGTGGGTGGGTGGATAGAGGATGGATAGACTAGTGGACAGAAGGACAGAGAGACTGCTGTATGGATGATTAGATAGATAGATAGATAGAGGAGTAGATGGGTCACTGGAAAAGTGGGTGGATGGATGATGGGTGGGTGGATGGCTGATGGATTCATGAAAGGATGTTGGGTGGATGATGAATGGATGATTGATGGATGGGTAGATGGATGGATAGGTGTATGCATGCATGCATGGTCTTCTTGAGGACAGGTGAGTGGGTAGATGGAAGGGTGGATGGATGGAGAGATGGATGAGTGGATGGATGGGTGGGTGAGTAGATGGATGACAGATGGGTGGGTGGATGGATGCATGGATGGGTGTGTGGATGGATGCATGGATGGGTGGGTGAATGAGTGGATTGATGGGTGGATGGGTGGATAGATGACAGATGGGTGGGTGGATGGATGCATGGATGGGTGTGTGGATGGATGCATGGATGGGTGGGTGAATGAGTGGATTGATGGGTGGATGGGTGGATAGATGGGTGAATGGGTGAATGGATGGGTAGATAGAGGGGTGAATGGATGGGTGGGTGGATGGATGGATGGGTGGATGGGTGGTGGATAGATGGGTGAATGGGTGGATGGATGGGTAGATAGCTGGGTGGATGGGTGGATAGGTGGATGGATGGGTGGATGGTGGATAGATGGTGAATGGGTGGATGGATGGTGGATGGATGGGAAGCTGGGTGGATGGATGGTAGATAGGTGAATGGGTGAATGGATGGATGGGTGGATAGAGGGGTGGATGGATGGATGGGTGGATGGGTGGATGGATGGGTAGATAGCTGGGTGGATGGGTGGATAGGTGGGTGGATGGGTGGATAGGTGGGTGGATGGGTGGATAGGTGGGTGGATGGGTGGATAGGTGGGTGAATGGGTGGATGGATGGTAGATAGGTGGGTGGATGGGTGGATGGATGGTAGATAGGTGGGTGAATTGGTGAATGGGTGGATGAATGGTGGATGATGGGTGGATGGGTGGATGGGTGGATGGATGGTGGATAGATGGGTGAATGGGTGGATGGATGGTGGATGAATGGGTGGATGGGTGGATAGGTGGGTGAATGGGTGGATAGATGGTGGATGGATGGGTAGCTGGGTGGATGGGTGGATAGGTGGGTGAATGTGTGGATGGATGGTGGATGGATGGGTGAATGGGTGGATGGATGGGTGGATAGGTGGGTGAATGGGTGGATGGATGGTAGATAGGTGGATGGATGGTGGATGGATGGGTGAATGGGTGGATGGATGGTAGGTGGATGGATGGGTGAATGGGTGGATGGATGGTGGATGGATGGATGAATGGGTGAATGGGTGGATGGATGGTGGATAGGTGGGTGAATGGGTGGATGGATGGTGGATGGATGGGTGAATGGGTGGATGGATGCAGGCACGCACAGGTGAACCCCCTTTCTATACACTGGACAGCTTTGGGACCGAGTGGGGAGGGGACGGGATGGGAGTGGCTGAAGCTGCAGTGACGTCACCGGGACTCCGCCTTCGCCGCGCGCGCATGCGCTCCCGGGCCGCGCGCCCGCCCAGCGCGCCCAGCGCCCCCCCCACCAGGCGGGGCGCGGCCCGGCCCGGCCGGCGGTGACTGGGCTCCACGCCCTGCCCGCGGGCGCGCAGGGCGGCGTGGGAACGGGAAGCGACGCGCGGCCGCGGAGCAGGAGGGCGGAAAGGGAGACTGCCGAAGTCGGAGGCGGCGGCGGCGGGCGCGCGGGCGGGAGGCCGGCCTTCCTCTCCTCGCCTGGCTGGGCGCCCAGGCCGGCGCGCCCGGCTGCTGCTCCAGCTCCCGGTGACCTCCAGATGAAGCGCCTTCTCCTCCAAGTCGCCTTTCCTCTCCCGCCCACCCGCCTTCCCAGCACGTCCCGCATCTGTACTGACGGGCTGCCTGGCAAACTCCTAGGCATCCTTCAAAACCCACCTGCACCAAGTCCTCTCCCCAGAGGCTCCTTCCTGATGCTTGGCGCCAGGCTGCCTCTCGCATCCTCCCCCCTCCACCTGGAAGGGCTGGTGATGCCTACCTGGGAGGAAATGCGATCAGGAAAACACCAAGGCTCCCAGCACCAAGGAGCTCCTTGCACACAAGGCCGCACGTTAGGCTTCACAGCTTGGTCCTGGCACTACCCAATTGTGTCTAGCTAGACATTACTGTCTTCCTCACAGTATCGCCGAGAGACTAGATGCTCATTAGACACGGGTGTAGAGCCAGGCGCCAGGGGCTCACGCCTATCATCCCAGCTACTCGGGAGGCTGACATATGAGGATCGTGGTTTGAAGCCAGCCCGGGCAGGAAGGTCCCCGTGAGACTCTGATCTCCAGTGAACCCAAAAGCTGGAAATGGAGCTGTGGCTCAAGTGGTAGAGCGCCATCCATGAGCGCAAGCCCGAGAGGCAGTGAACGGGTTAGAGGTCCCGCAGAGGAGAAAGCTGGGTGGTTGCTCAATGGGCACAAAGTATTTATAGGGTGATGAAATGCTTTGAAACCAGGGATTGCACAACGTTATGAACACACCGATTAGCATGACTGCTTTCTTTGAAATCGTGAATTGTATGTTAGATGAACTCACCTTAAAAAGAACATAAACTGGGCGTAGTGGCGTATACCTATAATCCCAGCGTTGGGAAACAGGCAGATCCCAAATTCAAAGCCCTACTAACCGGACGCTACCTCCAAAAAACGAGTTAAAAAGAGAGAATGTAGCTGGGCGTGGAAGTGCTGGCTTCTAACCCCAGACCAGCCGCGGCGGGCGGCTCGAGTTCTAAGCCGGCCTGACCTTCTCCGCAAAACTTTGCCTCAAAAGACAAGACGAGGAAACAAAATAGCACTGGCATCCCACCCCTGTCATCCCACCCCTGGCATCCCACCCCTGGCATCCCACCCCTGGCATCCCACCCCTGGCATCCCACCCCTGGCATCCCACCCCTGTCATCCCAGCTGCTCAGGAGGCTGAGATCTGAAGAGCAGGGTTCAAACACAGCTGGGGCAGGAACGTCCGAGCCTCGTATCTCCCCATGAGCCACCAAAAGGCTGGAGGTGCAGCTGCGGCTCAAGTGGAAGAGCACCAGCCTTGAGCGAGAAAAAGACAGTGCCCAGGCCCTGAGCTCGAGACCCAGGACCGGCACTCAATAAATCAAACAGGAGAAACACTAGCACGCACCCACTTTATATTATGAGAGAGAGAGAGTGATTAAGCGATTCAGAGTGGAAACGGCCCCTTGAATACTGGGTGAGAGCTTTACCCTGGAGCCATACCATCACCAAGCCACGCCCTCGACCACAAGCCCCGCCCCGTCACCAGACCAGCCCTATCAATTCATGCTCTATCACCAAGCCACGCCCCATCACAAAGCCTAGCCCTACCAAGTCCTGCTCTATCGCCAGGCCACGCCCCTCCTGGTGACCGAGCCACGCCCCTACATCAGAGCCACGCCCCGTCCCGAACCGCTCGATACTGAGCGTGCGCAATGCACTCATTTTCCAGCTGGGAAACGACGTGGAGAAGTTACTAGGCGAATGACAGCTTCTCAGGGACAGAGTGTGGCCTCGGATTCGGCCCCAGACCCCCCACCCCCAGACCAAGCTGGGATCAGACACCCTAAAATCCCATCTCCCAGCTCATCTAAGACCACGCTGAAATCCCAGAGCCCCAGGTACAGGCCGGGCAGAGGCTCAAGTGTTCAAACTCCACCACCACCGATAAAACCCCAAAACCTCATTCACAGAGCCCCACTTATGAGTGAGGAAGATCACTACACAGGTACCCCTCACCCCCAAAGCCGAAGTACTCAGCACCCCCAAGTCCCAGAGGACAGAGCTGTGTGTGTTCTATCTGCTGAGCCCAGGAAGGCTTCCTGGAGGAGAGGGCCAGAGAAATAGGCCCTCGTAGGATGAATAAGAGCTTGCTGAGCATGTGGGAATGCCAGGCTCTTCCTCCAAGCTGCATGTCTATTCCTGTTTGGTGAACTCCTACTTGTCCCTCAAGGCCCTATTCACAAGTCCCTTCCTCTGGAAGGCATTCTTTTTTTTTTTTTGGGTCCAGTCGTGAGGCCTGAACTCTGGGCCTGGGCGCTGTCCCTCAGCTCTTCAGCTCAAGGGGCTAGCGCCCTACCACTTGAGCCACAGCGCCACTTCTGACTTTTTTCTTTTTGCTTATGTGGTGCTGAGGAATCGAACCCAGGGCCTCAGGCATGCAAGGCAAGCACTCTACCACTGAGCCACCTTCTCTGGAAGGCATTCTTGCCTAGGACATCAGAGGAAGTGGGATTTTGTTGTTGTCTGTCAGTCCTGGGGCTCGAACACATGGCCTGGGAGCTGTCCCTGAGCTTCTTTTGCTCAAGGCAAGCGCTCTACCACCTGAGCCATAGCACCACTCTGTCTTTTTCTGCTTATGGTGCTGAGGAATCAAACCTGGGACCTCATGTGTGCCAGGCAAGCGATCTACCACTGAGCCACCTTCCCAGTACCCCTCCTTTTTTTTTTTTTTTTTTTTTTTTAACTCAGAGGCCCTGTTTGCCTACCTGACGCGCTCAGCACAGGCTTGATGTAGTCAGGGTGAATCAAAACCAGCAGTGGGAGCACAGGCCCCACCCACACCAGGACCACGTGGTGCATCCTGTCCAGAACCTTCTTCTCATTTTGGAGGCCCTTCTCAGTTGGAAGATACTGCAGGGGAAAAGAGGGACATGAGGATTCGCTCGGCTCCCCCTCCCCTCCCTCCCTTTCTCCCACCTTCCCCTCCTCTCTAGAGAAAAACCCAGAAGCCCAGATAACCTTATCCCAGGCTGCCCAATCCCATGGTATTAGCTCATGTGATATGGCTTGACCAAACAGAAAATGAGGACCAGTGCTGGCGGCTCACACCTGTCATCCTAGCTACTGGGGAGGCTGAGATCTGAGGATCGCAGTTCAAAAGCCAGCCCTGGGCAGCCAAGTCCATGAGACTCTTATCTCCAGTGAACCAGCAAAAAGCCAGAAGTGGAGTTGTGTAATGGTAGAGCACCAGTCTTGAGTGAAAAAGCTCAAAGACGGTGCCTAGGCCTTGACTTCAAGTTCTAATACAATAATAATAACAACAACAACAACAATAATAATTCTGGAGGCTGGAGGTACCACTCAGGTTTAGCAAGGTGCCAAGTCCTAAGTTTATCTCATGCCTCACAAAACAATCAACCAAACAAAAAAACAGGTTAATTGCCCCTTGAGTTATGGAGTAGAAAGGCCTCTGGTTTCTTAGGAGTCCCTCCATCCAAGCTACATGCAAATGAAGTAGATCTCTGCATACCCCCAGGCGCACAGCAAGCAGTGTGCCAAGAAACCAAAAAACCGGCTCCAAGAGACTACCAGAAACTGTTAAAGGCCAGCACGTGGCTCATGGGTGTCACCCAAGATACTCTGGAGGTAGAGGGTTGTGTGTGTGTGTGTGTGTGTGTGTGTGTGTGTGTGTGTGTGTGCTCTATAGAGCTCGAACTCGTGTCCTTGAGACCTCCACCGAGAGCTTTTGTGCTCAAGGTTGGTGCTCTACCACTTGATCCATGCTTCCACTTCTGTCTTTTTGCTGGTTGCTTGGAGATAAGAGTCTCACAGACTTTCCTGCCCTGGTTAGCTTTGAGTCTCCATCCTTGGGTTTCAGCCTCCTGAGTAGCTAGGATGACAGGTGTGAGCCACCAGCTCTTGGCTCAAAGGAAATAAAACAAACATGGAATAAAATAGTCTGGCGCTCACGCCTGTCATCCTAGCTACTCAGGAGGCTGAGATCTGAGGATCACAGTTCACAGCCAGCCTGGGCAGGAAAGTCTGTGAGACTCTTATCTCCAATAAAACTAGGCAGGAAGAAGTCAAAGGTGGCTCTGTGGACCAGGGGGTGGAGCACCCGCCTTGAGCAAAAAAGAAAGAAAGAAAGAAAGAAAAGCTCAGGGACAGCGTCCAGGCCCCCCATTCCGGTCCCAGGGCCTCCACCAAAATGTGTGGCTGGAGACAGAGCTTGCCCTCTCTGGGCTGCGCGGGGGGCCTGCAGAGCGGCCGGCGCCCACCGTGCCCCGCACACACGCACTCACCATGCGCAGGTGACCCAACAGCCAGTGGCCCCGCGACGGCTGGGGGAAGCAGCGCAGCCGGCGGCAGGTGAGGTGGAAGGCCCAGCAGAGCTTCCCCAGCTTGAGGAGCAGCCGGAAGAGCAGGGCGAGCAGGCAGAGGAGCAGGGCGTTCAGCGCCAGCCTGCGGAAGGCCGTCCTCTCCAGCCCCAGCAGGCGCAGCAGGTGGTCCGCGTCCAGGAGCATCCTGGGGGGTGCACAGGGGGACAGCGGCTGGACCCAAGGCTGGACCCGACCCGGGCCTGCCCTGGGGGTGGCAGACAGAACCAGGCATCCCGCTCCACTGCGAGGTCCCGGGGTGCGTGTGCGCGCGTGCGTGCGTGTGTGCGTGTGCGCGCGTGCGTGCGCGTGCGTGTGTGTGTGCGTGCGCGCACGTGCGCACCGCGCCAGCCCTGAGGCTTGAACTCAGGGCCTGGGCTCTGTCCCTGAGCTTTTTCACTCCAGGCTGGCACTCTACCACCTGAGCCTCAGCTCCACTCGTGCCGAGTCTCAGGGCCTTTCCTGCCCCAGGCTGGCTTTGAACCGTGATCCTCAGATCGCAGCCTCCTGAGTGGTTTAAGATTGCAGGCGTGAGCCCAGTACCAGGGCTTGAACTCAGGGCCTTGCCTGCCCTCTCTCTCTGTCTCTCTGTCTCTTTCCTCCTCCTGCTCCTCAGGGGCTGAGATCTGAGAGGATGGGGGCCCCTCGAGCACAGAGAGGCTCAGGGCCAGCGCCGGGCCCGGGGTTCGAGCCCCAGGACTGCCCGAAGAAGGAGCCGCAGCTGAGGACTCTCAGGCTGGGGAAGGCAGCGAGTGGCGGCGCTGGAGCCCCGGGAACCCCAGCGGAGGGTGTGACCAGCGTGCTAACGCAGGGTCAGTGTGGAACGAGCTGCGAAGCATGGAGCGCGGCTGAGGAGGAAGGAAGGGATGCAGACGTGGGGGGGCTACCGCTTTCCGTGGGCGTGGCCGACGGAGGGGCGTGGCCGCGAAGGGGCGTGGTTCCTTTGGAAGGGGACCTGGGGCTATTGGTTTCCGTGGGCGTGGCCGCAAAGGGGGCGTGGCCTCGAGGGGCGTGGTTCCTTTGGAAGGGGAGCTGGGGCTACTGCTTTCAGTGGGCGTGGCCGATGGAGGGGGCGTGGCCTCTAAGGGGCGTGGCTCCGTTGGACGGGGCGTGCTAGACCGGGCCCTGCCTCTGCCAGTGTGAGGTTCTGAATGGGAAAACAATCACCTTTCGCTCACCTGGAGCAGCACGGATAAACCCTGGCGAGCCCCAGGCCTCTGCGGCTAGGCCCTGGCGCCCAAACTCGATAGTGTTGGGAGCGGGGAGAGGCTTGTTCCTCCCTGTGCGGCTGAGACTGGAACCCAAGGCCTGGCCGTGCGTTGGGAAACCGCCCTACCTGTCCTGCAGCCGGCATCGGGACAGCTTCTTCCTGCTCCCAGGGGTTTCTACCTAGTACCCCCAAATATAGAGGGAATTTAAAAGCAAAAGGCTCTGGGGAGGCCCAGCCCCTGTGTGCCTCAGGGGTCGGTGCTGGGGCAGTCATGACCGGTACTTCCAGCGTCGTGGTTTTCCGAGCGAGCCGCGCTAGGGTTTAGAACTCAGGGCCTGCGCTGCGCTCTACCAGTGCAGTCTCGCCTGAGGCCTTGCTTTTTTCTGCTTATTTGAACTTGTGCTGAGCCTTGATGCACCTGTCTTAGGGGTCCCTTCAGCCCTGAGCTCACAGCCCCCCACCCCCCATCCAGCTCTCCTTCGGTGAAGATGGAGTTTTATGAACTATTCTGCCGAAGCCCCTTCCCATCCCATCCCACAGAGCTGGGGACGACAGGCATGCTACACAGCACCCAGCTACTGGTTGGTTGAGATGAGGAGGGGCCATCTTGCTAACTTTTCTCCCTAAGTGGGCCTCAAACCACAATCCTCCCAATTTCAGCCTCCTGAGTAGTTTAGGATTATAGGTGTGACACTGCCCATCAGATGTGTGTCTTGAGTTTTCAAAGACTGGGATGCAAGAGTTCCACAGTGGCTCTGTTCACAATCATCAAGAGATTTGGAAACAATCCAAATATCCATCAGTGGGTGAATGGATGAATCACGTAGGGCATCTCCATGCAGTGGAATATTATTCACTCACAAAAATGGGATGAGGGTCTGGGTATTTGATAACATAGATGGACCTGGGAAGTAATGCTTGCTGAGTAAAATAAGCTGGTCGTGAAAGATCACGTAATGCCCAGTGACTTGAAAGGTGGGGATTGGGAAGATAAAGGTTCAAGGCTAGCTTGGGGAGAAAAATGATAATGAGACCAGATCTCAAGAAATAAGGCTGGCATGGTGACATATGCCTGCCACCCCAGCTATGTGGGAGATACAGGTAGGAAGATGGTAGTTCGAAGCTGGCCTGGGAAAAATTGCAAGCCCTTATCTGAAAATAAAAATGACCAAACAAACAAAAAAACCAAGGGGCTGGGAAGGTGGCTCAGTGGTAGAGCGCTTGCCTTGCATGCATGAGGCCCTGGGTTCGATTCCTCAGCACCACATAAGCAGAAAACGCCAGAAGTGGTGCTGTGGCTCAAGTGGTAGAGCGCTAGCCTTGAGCTGAAGAGCTGAGGGACAGCGCCCAGGCCCAGAGTTCAAGCCCAGGACTGGCAAAAAAAAAAAAAAAAAAAACCAACAACTGAAGGAATGGAAGGAGGGGTGGTTCAAGTGGTAGAGCACCTGCCTAGGAAACCCTGAGTTCAAAGCCCAGAACTGAAAAAATAAAGCAGAGTGGGGCAAGGGAGGAGGTGATGGCGTAGCCCAGTAACTACGGTCAGTGCCTTTGGAGCATACACAGTCCTGCACGGCTGACAGGCATGTGGGAGGGTCGCTCGGTGGAAGACCGTTTGTTTAGTATGCAGGGGGCCCTGAGTTCAATTCTTTTTTTTTTTTTTTTGGTCCAGTCGTGGGGCCTGAACTCTGGGCCTGGGCGCTGTCCCTCAGCTCTTCAGCTCAAGGCTAGCGCTCTACCACTTGAGCCACAGCGCCACTTCCGGTTTTTTTCTTTTTGCTTATGTGGTGCTGAGGAATCGAATCCAGGGCCTCAGGCATGCAAGGCAAGCGCTCTACCACTGAGCTACCTTCCCAGCCCCGAGTTCAATTCTTAATACATAAAAAAAAGTGGGCTGGGAATGCAGGAAGAGGTAAAACGCTTGCCTAGCAAGTGAGTTCAACCCCCCCCATATTATTATTATATATATATATATATATACGTATATACATATACATATATGTGTATATATATGATATGGTGGTGACGATATCATCAGACAACAACAAGAAATACACCTGCAATCCCAGCTACTCAAGTGGCTGAGATCCAGTGGGACAAAGTTTGAGGCCAGCTCAGGCAAAAAAAAAGTTCATGAGATCCCATCTCCATGAATGAAAAGCTGAGCCTGGTGGTACATGCCTGGCACCCCAGCTACAGAATACTCGTAAGTAGGAGGATCACAGTCCAGTCTGACACTAGTGGGAAAGCATGCCCTCATTCAAAAATAAATGAATAATAACCAAGGAACAAGAAAAAGGTTGGGGATGTGGCTCAGGAGGCAGAATACCTACCTAGCAAGCTCCAAGCACTGAGTTCAAGCGCTGGTAATGCCAATATTATTCATAATAATAATAACAACAGACTCAGAGGCAGGGAAAGGCTTTGTCACACAGCATGCGGCACATGAGCCAAGATTCTTATTCTTATTACTTTCCAGGAGCCAAAGAGCAGCCTGGGGGCTCAGGCCTCACTCCTGTAATCCTACTTAGGAAGTTGAGATCTGGAGGATCATGGTTCAAAGCCAGCCCCAGGAAAACAAATCCAAGAGGCTCTTATCTCCAGTTTTTTCAGAAAAAGAAAAGCCATGAGTGGATCTGTGGCTCAAGTGGTAGAACATAGCCTTGAGGGAAAAAAAAAAAAAGCCCAGGGACAGCGCCCAGGCCCTGAGTTCAAGCCCTGGGATTAGCATGCACACACACAAAGAAAAGAATGAAAACCCTCCTCCGGCAGGAGCTGGCACCTTCCAAACGCTGTCATGCCGGCTGCATCGCCACATCAGCCCTCCGTGCCAACTCCCCATGCCAGGCAAGACGCCCAGCAGCCCTGCCCCGGCAGACACAGCCCGGCACACCCGGCCTGCCAGGACCGCCTTATCTGGAGAAGAATGTGGAGAGGAGTCCCAGCCCCGCAGCCAGCCTGGGATCAGGAAGCTCTGGTTTGTCTGGTTGGCCCAGCCTTGACAGCTAACTTGTCACACAGGGTGTGTGGGCTTCCAGGACATAAATGCACGCACACCGTGGACACTTGAGCACCCCTAAGCTAGCCCTGTCACCCCACCTTCCAGCTGCTCCTGCTCCAGGCTTATGGCACCCTGCCTGGGTCCATTCAACCCAGAAACTTACATTCACCTCCCTCCCCTCCAACCCGGCAAAGTGCCAGGAAGCACCCCAACATTTCTGGGTTTCAACAAGGTGGTGGAGAATTGAGGTGTCAAAGGTCAGAAATCTGTGGCTTTTGCAGTCCAAATTGGATCCTGGCAGAAAGAAAAAAAAAAAAAGACAAGAAAAGAAACATCCCTGGGAGATGTGGTCACCTTGGTACTTCATCTCCAGTATGGCCACACCAGGACAGGAGCCTTAGAAAGTCTATTCTGGAAGGTTTGACCCCCTTAGCTGTGTGACCTCAGGCAGGTGCCTGAACCTTTCTGAGCCACAATTTCTCCATCTGTAACAAAGGATCCACATTTCCCCATCTCCCAGGACTGTGAAGACACAGCCAGGCATTTTTCATGGACAGGCGCACAAGCAACGCCAAATTCAAAGCAGCTCATCCCAGCTACTCAGGAGGCTGAGATCTGAGGATTGTGGTTGGAAGCCAGCCCAAGCAGAAAAGGCCCTGAGACTCTGATCTCCAATGAACCACCAGAAAACCAGCAGTGGAGCTGTGGCTAACTCAGAGACAGCACTCAAGACCCTGAGTTCAAGCCCCAGGAGACACACACACACACACACACACACACACACACACACACACACACACACACACACACACAGAGCATTAAGAACATATTCCCATTTGCTGCCTGGGATTGAAGAACAGGACTCTGGGGCTTGTCAGAAAGGAGAGATGGGGTTCCGTCTCTGCATGTCACCCAGTTACCCACGGCCGTCTACCTGAT